GCGCAGTGGAGATGAGCTGGCTCAACGTCGATGCAGAGAAGCTCCTGGAGCCCCCACTCGTCCTGAAGGACTTCATCAAGGCGGTTAAGAACTCCAGACCAACCGTCAGCGGAGAAGATCTCACGAGGAACTCCGAATGGACCCAGGAATTCGGCAGCGAAGGTGCCTAATCATGCCTTGTGAGATGATATGAATATTCCCATCATGGTATCGACAGCTTGAGACATTCCGCCCAGGTAATTGTCATGGAACCGAGGACGGAAGTTAAATACTGTACTTCATTTCATGTCTGTGCCCATATTCTCTCTGTCCCAGTCCTGCGTTTCTTCCTTTTTTCTTATTCCTTGCTTTCTGTCCTGTCAATGCTTGCTTCATCTCGGATTTCTGTCTGTGGCTTTGGGGTGGTGCTCCGAAGAGTTTGGTGTTTAGAAGCGTTTATCCACTTTTGGCAACGGCGTGGCGTTGTTTGAGCAAACATTTCATCTGTCTTTTCCCACGGGCCTTCCCATAACAAAGAGCGCGAGAGTGGTGCATACTGCCTTCGAAGGCTAACGTTAAATGGTTGTTTGTCGCTATGTACACCATCGGCTACGTTGTTACCATAGCTAGCTATGGGTTTTGATATGGCACGAGCATACTACTTCAAAATTGTAAAGCCCTTGTGCGTTCGTATGCAGGTATAGACAATGCCAACAGAGGCTCAATTTCTGTACTGACAGAGGCAACTAAGAATACTCTTACTCGGGTCATCCGATTCCTCATCAGGATGACTATGCACAACTAGTCAACAAGCAAATGCAAAGCCAGCCCTAAAACGCCCCCATGCTGAAAAGATCGAAAGACGAGGAAGCCAGAAGTTGAAGAAAAGCAAAAAAAAACCTGCTGTACTTGCAAGACATGTCGGGGGAATCTCTGGCAAAAGATCGACGCTGGAAGAACAAAAGACAAAAATCACAACAGGATGAAACACACAAAAGCTCTCAGAGGATTCATTGCCCAAGTAAACTCTTGTTCGAGCCATCGCGACGCTTAAGCATTTCGGTCTTGGCCCGCTTCAAGCCCTCGCCTAGCTTCTTGGTCCGTTTCCAATCACTGCTCATCTTTTGCATGCGGACAGTAGCTCTCACTAGGGAAATGGCAGTTCTGAATTTGTGGCGTGGAGTGCGAGTAGGAGTACGATCACGGGCTTGTACACCCATCTCGGAGATCATGCGTAGATCGGCGTCGTTGCTGTGAATAACATGTTAGCTATGTGGGTAGAAATAATTTGGATAAATGGGATCACGAACCATGCCACCCGAACACGTTCACCGAGTTCCATCAGGCCCTTACTCCAGGCTAAATCACGTCGGAACTTTTCCTCCCGCTGTAGGCGAGCACGGAGCCAAATGATCTCCTTGCCTAGGCCGCGCATCTCCTTCTCATGCTTGGTCTTGTTGCTTGACTTGAGGTGAGTGTTTTTCGCCAGGACTTCCTCGTGGCGCTGTTGTAACACATTGAGGTTGTTGGTTGCAGCTTCGGCCTCTCGTCTGTGAGCATCACGTTCCTCGCGAATGCGGAGAACATGTTTCTTCAGTTCGTTGAGGCGTCCTTCCCGTTCAGAAAGCTTCAGAGCTAGCGATTCGGCTTCGAGGGTAGAAGACCTGAGCAGCTCATGGAAGTCCTTTTGGTCCTCTTCTTTCATTGCAGCGCGCTCCAGTTCACGATTCTTGGCAGTCGCTTTCTGGAGAGACCGGTGTGCTTCAGCCACTTGCTTTCGTAGAGTACGTAACTCGTCATGAAGTTTGTTGGAGGGTGAGTTATGCGGGGAGATTGAATCGAATTTGTTCATCATCGCCTCATGAAGATCCTTCTCCAGTTCCTCAATTCGTGACTTGTAGCTTTGTGCAGAAGACTTTTGCTTGGATTCGCGCTGGAGCAGAATATTTTCACGTTTCCGAGCCTCGTCCAGGTTGTGTCGAAGTAGAGAGAGATCTCCATGTGCACCGGATTGCTCATTATCTACCAAGGGCGACTGCTCGATCATGGCTTCCAGTTCCTGAACTCGACGTTCCAGGCGCTGAACCTTGGTCTTTGCTGTAGTGAGTTCACGATCCCGATTGCCCGAGCCTGCAAGCAGTTTGTCTTGGAGACGATCGATCTCAGCAGAAAAACGGCCCTCCTCTTCGGCGAACCGTTCACTCTCAGAAATAAGCTGGTTTTCGAGTGTTGCCTTGGCGTCTCGCAGTGCGTTGAGCTCATTTTCAAGTCTTGTCGTCGTTTTGCGTAGTTCAAGCTTATCGCGGTCAAAGCGAGCGGTGTCATCAGCATTCTGGAGTCGTTCGAGTTGTGCATGAAGCTCAGCACGCTCAGCTTCCATCTCCTCTGCGGAAGTCTTTAGGTCGTAGAGCTCAACATGAGCATTCGCAAGCTCGTCACGAAGCTTTTGTCTCTCGGCGATGGTTTTCTCCATAATTTTCTCCAGTTCGGGCGTGTTGTTCTGCCGGCCCTTGGCGAGCTCTTGCTCATCTGCCAGGCTGGACTGTAGCACAACAACTTCATCTTCCAAAGCTCGCACTTTGTCCTGGAGAGCTTGCTCTTCACGGCGAGATACCCGGACATCTTGCTTCGCCGCAAGGAGTTCGTCTTGTTTTTCGTCAAGGTCGCGTCTTGTCTTGCCGAGGTCATCTTTGAGGTCTTGAATTTGGCGGTTCAGCATGGTCATTTCTTGGGCATTGCGCTTTTTCTCGGCATCAAAGGCCTCCTGCAATCTGGACTCCTTGCCAGAGTAAGAGTTGCCGGCTTCCTGAAGCCTGTCGATAGTGCGCTTCAAGTCCGCTGCTTGATCTTCTGCCCAAGATTTCTCTGATAGCAAGGTCCGCTTGTTGCTCTCCCAACGGCTTTGATCAACTGCGAAACGTCCCTCTTTCTCTTCGATCTCGTGCTGGAGGTTTTCAATCTCTTCTTGCAGTCGTTCAACTTCGACCTTGTGCTGCCAACGGGTGTTGTGTCCTTCATCCTGGGCGCGAGTAGTGGCATCCTGAACAGCCTTTTGGAGTTCGCGAATTCTGGATTGTGCTCGGTCGAGTTCGGCTTGCAATCCTCCCGATTCGTCGGTCAGTGCACGATGGCGAGTTTGAAGAAGTTCCTTTTCGTCTGTTGCGCGTTGGATTTCGTTTAGAGCCTCCTCCAGTCGAGCGGAAGTTCTCGTCAAATCGAAACGGGCTTGGTCACGTTCGCGCTTGGCAGTATCAAGGTCCTGGACAAGATGTTGAGCGTTATCTTCTAGGCCATGTTGCATAGTTTGATAACGTTCTTCCAGACGAGTCGCAATGTTCGTTTTGTTCTCGAGTTCCGCACTCAGGGCGTCATTCTCTTGTCGAAGATCATGTACTTCCTGCTCGAGACTTTCGGTTCGCTCCTCCATTTGCCGGCTCAATCCTTTAGTGGTAAAGGATTTGTTTGACATCTCGTCTTGCAACTCTCTCAAATTTTCTTCGGCGTGGTCCTTCGCTGCAATAGCTTCCCTTGCGACAGCGTCTGCTTCTCTTGCCTCGGACTTGACCTGGTCAAGGTTATCCTGGATATCCTGCATTTGCTCCTTGGCACGATCCAGTTCAAGCTGGAGCTCTGCGGCTGCGCCACCCTCCCTGTCGCCATTATGCTTCAAGTCCTCTAGCTCTTCTTCGCGTTCCTCAAGGAGTCGATCCTTTTCTCTCAAGCTTGCCTCCAAATCCTCGATCTCGTCTCGAAGTTTGTCGGTCTCTTGCGATTGACTGTCCTTCACTTGTCTCAGTTCGTCGCGGGCTTCTCGGAGTTGCTTGTCGCGCGATTCGAGCTCTTCGCGCATCAGATCCATCTCGCGTTGTACAGTTTCGTCAGCTTGCCTCTTCCACGCCTTCTCCTTCATTTCCATGAGCTGCACTTGATAATCCTCGAGGTCGCGCTCTGCCTGCGCTAGGCTCTTCTGGTATCGGGAGATATCGCGTTGCATGGTCATTCGCAAGACTTTGAGTTCAGTGTTCTCTTTGAGGGCGGCGTTATTGTATTCAGGGCCGGCTTTTTCTAACTGTTCCTCCATATAATGGATCTTCAGTTTCAAGTTCCAGTTGTCTTTCTGGAGTCTATCGATGGCCTGCGGAGTGGGTAACGTCAGCGTGAATCCAGTTTTGTGAGTATAATGACAATAGTATCATACCTGCACTTGCTCCTTGAGCGACATCATATTCTGACCACCACCGAGGACTCCTGCGCCGTCGCGTCCTAGTCTGGGTATCGGTGTACTTTGCGCACTACTGCTGGCAGCCTGGGGCAGCGGTGTCGCATCTTCCATCGTCCGATCCTCCTCGTAAATATCTGACATGTCCATTGGGGGTAAGCCGGGCGTGTGGGCGTTGCTTCGATAGTTTTGTCGCTGATACCCTGGGGTTCTCGGATCGTCCGTTCCTCGCGCCGCAGACATTGTCTTCAGGAAGTTGTTCTTTGTCGCGCTCTTCATCAATGGGGTGAATTCTCCCTTCTCAGGGCCTGCTGCTGGGAGATGCCGTAACGCGCTTCTCACCTTGGAAGCGCCCGCACGCGGAGTGACGCGTTTGTCGAAGCCCTTTATCACATCGTTGTCCTTTGACGGTGTATGGAATGAGTTTTCGACTGAGTCCAATGCCGACAAATGAGTTCGCCCCGCGCTGCGAAACCCGTTGGTAAGGTAAGTCGCGTTGCCGTCAATTTCAGTGCGCGGCGTGTCGATGTAGGGGAAGGCCATCGTGTCGGAAAAACAAGGCCAGAAATGTTTAACGCGTGACCATCACCTCATATAGCAGGAGCGTTGCAGACCTCACGTTGGGCAAGTACGGGCAGTTACGGACGTGTTTTGGAGAGTTCCCGCGTTTGGTCTAGTGTGGGCATCTCTGTTGATTTCTAGCCTAATTGGGCTTAGCTTGCAGATCACGGGATGTAAAGTTCGCCGCTTTTTTTTATCAGAATGCCATGAGGTCATTCTTCTTTCTACACAAACAGTCAAAATGACCACCGAGGAGGATATCGCATGGTTCAAGTCCACCTTTCGTCCGATCCCGAAGCCAGAGCTCCCCGACGACGCTGTGGAATATTCCATCTACCATATTCCGTCCTCCCCCGCCCCCGCCGTTATCGATGAAGCTGCCGAGACCCGCGCGCGATTGATTGAGGTCCAGCGCAGTGCTGCAGATCTCACCAAGGATCTGCTTAAAGATTACATCTGGCAGCGTGAGGCCTTTAAATTGGAAATTGCAAAGGAAGATGGTATGAAATATATATTCTTGTCTGCTAGAAACTTACTAACTGTATCGGTTGTAGGAATCAGCTCGCTGCAGGGTCGCACCAACTACGGCGACTCCATCGAAGACGAATGGGTTATTGTGTACCTCCTCCGTGAGTTGACCAAACGACACAAGGATATTTGGGTCAAAGTGGCGGACAGTGATGGCGAGTTCCTTCTTATTGAAGCCGCGGGAACACTACCAGCGTGGATCGAACCGGACGTCGCAGACAATCGGGTGAGTGTTGTCCTGATGCTTGAGTCATCAATGTGCTAACCATTTTTCATCCGTTAGGTATGGATTAATCAAGGAGAGCTGCGCATCATCAAACCGAAGCAAGAAGCGAAGAGACAAGTAACCGAAAAGATCACTCTCCCGGAAGCACGCAAGATTATCCAAAACGAGCCCGGTCGCCTCCTCCGATCTACCATAATCCAGGAAGAGGCATTCTACCGTCTGCGCAAATACCCCCAGCAGATCAGCGAGAACCTCCACTCTGCCGTCATTACAATCCCCCGCAAGGCTGCATTCCTCCTACACCAAAAGCCAGCATACATCTCACCCGCCGTTGAGGCATTCTACATCCGTGATCCAATTGCCCTACGCCCACTACGTGCCAAGGATACTTCGGGTCTCGTTTTCAAGCCTGACGATCTGGTTGACGTGAGTGTCCGATTCACTCGGGTCGGATATGCGCAGCTTAAGAGTCAGGAATTCCCCATTCCAAGCACCTGGGCGGGCAAGCTACCTTCGACTGAAGATCGAAAGGCATACGACCGCGCAGAGGCAGGAATGAAACTTGCATGTGGACTTGAGATGTTGCTCAACGATCCTCAAAACCAGGACAAGGCTGTAGTCAGAGAGATGAAGCTGCTCCTGGAGGATGTGGAGACCGGGGATGAAGAGCTTCCCACCGACAAAGAGATTCAAGAGAAGTGGGACAAGCGAGAAGACGATGAAAAGTGGCTGGACATCAACTTTGAAGATCTGGAGGCAGAGCTCAAAGGACGGGGCCAAGGAAAGGGAGAAGATGCAGGCAATTTCGGCGACACTGGCGCCCAGGAAAACCTTCAACGCATCGTGGCTCGCTTTGAGGAATTCCTGAATGATAACTCAGCTGGATTCGATGGTGCCGATTTCATTGATGACTTTGGAACGGATTCTGACATCGATGAAGATGAGGAGGAAGAAGTCGACAGCGAAGGTGAGGACAAGGATGCTTCTTTCAACGAAGAGGAGTTTGCCAAGATGATGAAAGAAATGATGGGCATGCCCTCTTCGTCAGACTCCATCCGCAAGCGAGTGGAAGAACTAGACTCGGATGGCGAAGACGATACGGAGCAGATCAAGGAGTTGTCCCGACGAATGGAAGCCGAGTTACAGGGCACTGGTATCCTCGATTTGAACCGACGCCCGCAGAATCTGTCTGGAGAAGCAAGCGGCTCCGGAGATAAGGCTGCCAAGTCTAAAGACGACAATGATGAGGATGACAACGTCAACATCAACCTCGCTAAAAACTTGCTGGAGAGTCTTCAGGGCCAAGCTGGTGCCTCTGGCCCAGCCGGCAACATGTTGTCGATGATGAACCTTCGCATGCCAAAAGACGATCGCCCTTGAGGGGCCACGCGTGTCTCAGTTATGACATCTTAAAAAAGAACGAACAGTCGTCCAAGGCTAGCAAAGGAGCCACATCCTTACGCACGACTACCAGTATATTCTATCTGAATTCGCTGGGTCAGAGCGTATGTCGACACAAAGCACATTTATGCCCCGGTTATCTGTCAATGAGACTGCGTATCTCAGCTTACATACTTCAAAGTGAGCCCTGTATGATGATTGACAGCGATTGGCTCAACATCCGGCTGCTGCCGTAATTCGGCTATATGCGACGAACCGAAACACTTGCGATTCCAACTCCCTGTGTCAAGTCATCTTGGGGCAGAACCCAGACCTCCGTCGCGGTGACCGAGTTATGATGGACGTTTCCCTCTATGCTATCTTTGCCAGACATTCTAACCCATTGAAACCCCATTGGTAGTGTATGTAGCTTCAGGGAACACATCAGACGTTTTCATGATCACATTTCCACCCGTCACATTCCTTATCTCTTTAGAGGCCCAGCCTCGGTAGCTCACACCGAAAACGGTGCAGTAGTCAGTAACGGTTACCATGGCGTTCAGGGTTACAATGCCGAAGTAAATAAATAAAAAACGCCCCGAAAACAAATATCCCACTGTTTTTCTCAATAATCCTCCGTGTTACACCATCACATGCTGAGGTGGCTCCATACGTCGAAATATATATAGCACCGGGCACTTTCAATTATCCACCAAACCCACCCAACACAAACAGGACGATCTTACCGATGAAGTCCATGAAACATGAGCTTCGCCAACCGTCTCCACAGGTCTACCGACCTGCCTCACAATGAGGATACGTGAAACCAACTCCGCACGGAGCTCCGGGAGGTCAACATTCCGCCCGTTGCGACCTCGGGAGACGTTTACGGGGCCGAATAATTAGTGAATTACTAGGGAGTAGTAGTACGGAGTACTCCGTAGATATGAAGAGAGAAATGGAAAGGATGTGGAAATTAAGTCGAGTATAAAGTGATTAACACGTGCTTATGCGCGAGGTACAATATAACCCAACCTTAATTGAGAAGAGTGAAGAAACATATTCCCCAACCAGTAACACTGCGACTATTTCAATTAAAGTGAAAACTAGATGGGAAACCGAAGAACTAACACACAAGCGTGACATGCTAGACTTAGGTGCATGGCATTTACGTACAAGCATTGGGTCTAGCCCAGCCACATTTCCCCAACTATCTCGTGATGGTATTGTCCTGGAGTACAGAGTTCCCAGTACAGTAACCGGAAGTACACCGATCCAGGTACAGGTACTTTATGTACGGATCAGCAATCTCATCAGATCAAGATGCGGAAAATCCCACGTGGCTCGATCGTCGATCGAACGGTTTTCAGTACAAACATGTCTCGTGTCTCTTGTCTCGTTTAACTAATCTTGTCTAATATAGGATATTAACAGTTGCGTAAACATACTGGGCATGTCTCAGCCATGTCAGCGCACACTATAGGCTTATAATTGATTATGTTCGGCAGCGGAAGTTGTCAGGCACACACCGGGTAGCATAGTGGAGACGCAGATGAGTGATTTTAGACATGGAAAAAGCCAAAAGGATTCCAGAAGGCCGGAGTGGAGTTGATGGAATGCGACTAAATCCCGAATCGTTAGTGTCGTGTGCTGGTGGCGAAAACGGATCCCCTGCGGAATTGCCGGTCCACTTTCGGCTGTGGGTTCGCCTTGTAAATCCCTCAAGTGATTAGAAATCAACGGAATAGGTACCTAGTATGGTAGTGTGGTGGTGCTCAATATATTGTAGAGACGGGAAGTGTATAGCCAGGGAAAGTATAGAGGGGGTTGGGGCTGAACATGTGTGGACGGAACAATGCAGTCCCCTGTATAGCGTCGGCACTAGTAGAGTGCCGGGAGCCGGGATTAATTCAAGGTAAAGTATCAATTGGTTTCAAAAGTTGGAGTACATTTCCGGAGTAGTATAGAGCCGTTTAGACGGGGCGAATTCTGATTCTATGGATGTCAACTCCGGGTAAGAGAGGATCATCGGTGGAGCCTGGAACATTCGAACAGTGGACTGTAGCCGGAGTACATGTACACAGGTACATGCACAGAGAGTAGTCGATCCCTGCTTTTGGAGACGCAAATGCTGATCCCCCCCGATTCGTTTCAAGATCGTCATCGGTATATCCGGACTTATTCCAGGTAATATCGTGACTTCATTCAGCAAATCGGAGGTGTTGGAATCCAGCCTTGAGTGTACGGAGTTGTGTAGTTATCTCTCCCCGACAAAAGAAAGGCAAGGGAAAATGATAGATCATAAGCCTTTAGATACTCACATGTAAGGGTGAGACGGGATATAAAAGAATGTGACCGGAAGGGAGTGGAGTTCCATGTGTAAAAAGGCAAAAGTCGGAATTCGATCTCCCTTTTCCTTCTTAATCCTCTCCATCCCCCTTCCTTTTTTCCGGGAACCAGGTTAGTGGGCATACCACAGTCTGCAACAATGGACTGAGGGTACCCACCATGGACTTCATTGTATGTATCTCTCTATACTGAGTATATTGAGGCTTGACTGACTTCCCTAGCTCTCGTTGACGCACTTCTGTGAGGTGCACGGCCCCACCTCCATCATCTGCTCCCAGGTGCTTCCCTTTTCATGCCCGCAATGCCACCCCGACTCCGACTCGCCCCAGGGGACCCCTGCCCCCGATTCTCGCGTTGAGCAGCCTCGTCACAAAGAAGACTCCAAGTCGCCCAAAATTGAAGACCACCCGTACTTTTTGAAAGGACATCCGGCCTCGCCCGATGAGAAATCCAACCGAGGTGGCGGGAATGGCGACACTTGCGCCAGCTGCAGTCTGTCGCTACCCGCCGATGTGAGCAAGCAACTGCCTCAGGGTGCCGGCGACGGAAAAGCAAGCAACAGCAGTCCCGTGCTGCGCTCGCGCGAAGTGGTCAACTCATGCGGCAACACACATTCGGATATGGACGACGACTCTCACGATTTCCACTCTCACTCTTCCCCCCCCGAATCACTGCGCTCTGCATCGGTCGCCTCCGACGCCTCCTGTCACACCCATATCCATACCTACCTCTCTCAGCGCGGGCCGCCGAAACCGGCCGACTATGCGCTCCTTCGCCGATCCTCAATCCGCACCTTGAGCTGTGAGCTCCTACCCCGAGGTCTCTCCTCCGGTCCTATCTGCTTCGGTGACTCTGTCGCAGGCTACACCATCGCATACATCTTCCGCCTTCCGGACCCCATGGCCCGCGGCAAGCGTCGCAGCTACGCATTGGTCGCACTGGCCGGGCGGGATGCTGGAAGAGCATTCCGCGCATGTCCCATCATCTGGCGCGCATTCGGTCGCATCGCCGCCAGCATCGTCAATGCCGCAGAGCGTTTCCAGGAAGACGAGAAGACCCGCGACGAGCAGAACAACCCGGGACGACAACCCGGCCGCCAGTACACGCCTGTTTCTTCCTTCCTCACGGGTCGCGCCATGGACCCGGCCGGCCGGCGCGCAGCAGGCCAGATCCGTGCCCGCAACTTGGCTGAAATCGTCGGCAACGAATACATCTTTACTGAACTACATGCCCACTTTGTCGCACTTCTTCAACAACTCGGCTCGATGTTTGGCGGTATTCCCCTTTCTGAGGAGCGCTTCATCTGCAGTACGATGGGTGACGACGATACTGCCAATCCCGCCCAGCCGGTCCTTGTTTCCACAACCGGACAGCCCAAGGACAAGAAGTTCGATGGCAATGACATTGACATGTCGAACCTTGAAATTGCCTCGGAGCCAAAGGCGATCCCCATTGCGCCTCGCCGGTCCGTCATGGCTTGAAATTTTCTTTTCATCATTTGCATGAACCTCTTATTGAGATACCCGCCTGCTTTCTTGTTTCTTTTTCCCCAGGCACTTCTTTTTCACCTTGTCTTTTTTGTATTCTTTTTTTCCCTTTCAATTCTCTGTGCTTCTATCCGCTTTGGCAAGGTGACCAATATCGCGTTGCTCATTCTGCATAATTTGGGTTTCTTGCGATATGGATATGGCATAGACTATGGCGTCTCAGACACGGAGTTTTTGATTTGCAGCCTTGACTTTTTCGGTGATTTTTTCTCTCTTGAACGTCTCGTCTGATTATGGGGTTCGTCCGTCTGTTCAGCGACTTTGAGACTAGTGCTATGTTACGATGAGATGTCACGATCACGAGACATTCAAGAGACATGTATTCTATGTATTATCTGAACACGAATCACAGCCACTGGCTTTCATTTTAACTTACTTCCCATCAAGTAACGCCAATATCTACGTAGTTATCAAATAAATCCACGGTTAGATGATATTCCTATAGTCCGGATAAACCCGGGAAAATTAGCCATATTCGGTTAATCCGACTACAGGGCCACAATCAAAAATCCCACCAAAAAGAACATCCCGCAGAGACAAAGACCCGCATCACCTTCCACCTCCCTTCAGCAATATCAAGATGGTCGCCTTCGACAAGTGTGAAACCCGGCCAGGCCACATTGAGGCCATCCTCAGTGGCCTCGACCGCTACAACCCCGAGACCACCACCGTGTTCCAGGACTATGTGGCCCAGCAGTGCGAGGACCGGTCATTCGACTGCTACGCCAACCTGGCCCTCCTGAAACTGTGAGTTGGAAACCTTTTTCTCGTAACATGTCTTATGTTCATATTGGATGAAAATTGCTTCTGTGATGATCATCTTTTAAGCGTTTCCTATTACCTGACAATCCCATAATATACTTGGGAATGTTGAGAAATTCTGTGAAGATACTGAAAAGAAGCAATGCTACGTGCATTTAATGACATCCAATTCGCGATATATCTCGTTCGAAAAAAAACCGGAACCAATCGCTAACAATATCCTCCCCCACTCTAGCTTCCAGTTCAACCCTCACCTCCTCCAAGCCGACACCGTGACCAACATCCTGGCCAAGGCCCTGACCGTCTTCCCCTCCACGGCCTTCTCGCTCTGCCTCGCCCTCCTTCCAACAAACACCCAGCCCTTCCCCACCACCAGCGAAGCCCAAGCCGCCAGCCAGACCTCCGACTTCGTCGAGTCCGTGCAGAAGCTCACCCGCCTCAACACCCTCCTCGAGTCCGCCCAGTACGCGCAGTTCTGGTCGACCCTCAACTCCGACGACCTCTACGCCGACCTGACCGCCGACGTCGCCGGTTTCGAGGAACTCGTCCGCATCCGCATCGCCGTCGAGGTCGGCAAGACCTTCCGCTCCATCAATGCCGAGAACCTCGAGTCCTGGCTCGATATGCGCCGCGACGCCCTCGACAAGTTCGTAGTCGACGTCTGCGGCTGGAAGGTCGATGGCGCTGTTGTCCGTGTCCCCACCAACAAGGAGAACGAGGCCCGCTCCGAGGTTAAGAGCGAGCGTGTTGGCGTCGAGCAGTTCGGTCGTGTTATCCGCCGTGGCTTTGAGCAGCCTGCTTAAGCGCCTTATCCCGCCATTTGAATGTTCACCCTAACATTTTACACTTCCTCCTTTCGTATCTCTACCTTTTTCTTACTACTCCAAAAAATGTGCACGGGGATCGGGATCATTCGTCGGTCCGTCGTGCCATGAGTTCATGAATCCCCCACCTTCTCCCTCGATCAAGTGATGATCCGATGGTGATAGATTTCGCATGGAAGAGGGGCTCCGAGATGAGTCGGGATCTGGCGCATCGGGCGTTTTTGTTTTTTGACTCTTTGACTCTGGAACTCTTTGATCCTTTCTCTTGTCTGTATTGGATCTATTTTTCCCTTTTTACACTCCGTGCTACATCCCTGGCACTGGATGATATGAGAGAGATATGTCTTTGTCCATACCATAACAATAACAATACCTTTCAGTCGAGCCTGCCTACTGTTTACATGTAGGGTTGGCTTCGCCAATATAAAACTATACAAGTCAGTTTCAGACATTCAAATATTACATGTAGATTGTTGTAGGGTTGAGCACGCGAAGTGGGATGGATATCAGCCTAGTCTATTAATCTCTATGTATGTACTAAGCTGCTTCCACGACGTCCAGGGTTGTTTCTTGGTGGTATCAGCAGCCGATTCCTCTTCTCGGCTATCTTGCCATTCGCGAGGCAGACCGGACCTGTCACGAATAGTCTGCGCACGGGGCCCATGGGATGAAGGAGGGCCTGGCAAAGAAGCTGAAACAGCAGACTTGGGAGGCCAGGCAGGAATCTCTGATGAACATGTAGTTCATGGTCCGTGCTGGAGGTTGCATGGTGCCAACTTCAATGTTCTACCTGCCTTCCGTCACACAACAGTGGTCTACACAGACCACTCCTCCACGATCGCTATCGTATCCTCGCTTTGGGCACTATCTACAGACAGCATCGACAGACTGCTCGTACGGGCCGCAATGTAAATCGGGATATTCGACGTGAAGGTAATCACCGACCCGGGAAGACGAACCGGGGTCGGAGGTCCTCTCACGGCTACCCAGTAAGAAGTTGATGGATGCTCGAAGCGAATAGGATAGGGCCTAGAGGTGTACGTATTCTACGTAGCCGTCATGGAAAAATATGGCCGAGTAATACGAGTGAGGGTGAGTTAGGAGTCTTCCCCCCGTTAGCTCTTAGCTCCTGTTCTATGTACTTCCTCCTAAAGATTCCAGGTGCTTTTATCTCTTCTTAACCACCAGCTTTCCCCTAGGTCTCAGTCATTACCGCTTTCTTTCCTATTCTCTTCCTTGTCTGTGGCCTCAGTCCTCTTCCTCTTCCTCTTCCTCTTTATCTTCATCTTCCTCTTTATCATCCTTTTGGTTGAGGCTGTTTTTAGCTAAGGCCATGTTACGGACAAGAAGAAGTAAGTGCCTAACCCTGAGTATTATTGGCGACGTAGTCAGCAACTTAAGAAAGGTATCGTTTAAAAACGACATGCCATTTCAACTAAGAACAACACTTGACTAAGTTAACTGTTGACTTTGCTTATATAACAGCTCGTGCCATTTGCAAAGTCCGCAAGCTACTTTACCCAGGATTCTGTTGATCGAACATATAGAAAAGCACTCAACCGATGGGAAAACTCAATTCAATTCATTCGAGGAAATGTACGTAAGCTTGTCACACAGAAAGATAAGCATCCCGTCCAGGAGAAGTTAGGGTTTTCGATAAAATCCTTACAGACATCTGGCCTAATTATCGTGATGTTCTGTGGATGTCCGCCTTTATTCGTCAATACTTTGATATTGTGTAGACCACTGCGGATGATACGAGGTATAATCTCGTGCTTGCTTAGATGGGATTAGATAAGGCGCTCATTTTTGTTTGATCACCTCCTGATGGGTCTCAATGAGCTTATGTACTAACAGACGAGTGGCGCATCCAGGTGCGAGGCATACTGATGATACAAGGAAATATAACCTGCTACGGTCCTTAACAGTCTTCGTACCGTAGTGACCGTTATTGCCTTCCATCTCAGAAACATAGAGACACAGGAAATATTTACAGTACCTCCACATTCTCCACAGTCGGCTTCTCCTCCTCCTCCTTATCTCTCTCATCACTGATGACTTTCTCGTCCATCGACCTCAAGCTTCCCGGATGATGCAAGCTCCCCGACGAGAAGATCATATCAATCTCCTCCAGCGATTTGCCACTGGTTTCCGGGAAATAGAAATAGACGATGGGAATCGATACCAGACAGACGCAGGCGAACACGATGTAGTATTTCCATCCGATCTTCGTCACGGCGATAGGAGTGACTTCTTGCACGAGGAAGGCTGTAAGCCATTCCGCGGATGTGGCCATTGCAGCACCGACGTGGCGGATGTTTCTGTGTCATACGTATACGTCAGAGCTGGATGACAGGGACTGGGGGCACACGGGAAGACTTACAATGGGGTGATTTCTGGGGGGTAGATCCATGGCACGGACAGCCAGCTGAAGGCGAAGGCGATCTGTATATCGGTATCAATTAGCAAAGCGGCGCTTTTCGGATGGAGGCAGTTTGCTCACCTGATAGATGTACATCATGACAATCCCCGCGTACAATAGTCCCTTGCTATTCTTCTTCTCGCCAAGTGCGAGGAAAATAATCAACAGGAACCAACAGACTGTCATGGCTGCTGATCCTCCCATCAGACACTTCCGACGGCCAAACCGTTCCACTTGTTAAAGTTAGTCAACCTTGTTTCATCATATGTGACAAGCAGAAACCCGAGTCTTACCGAAATACATCGGAGGAAAAGAAGCCAGTAAGTAAATGACAGCTCCAATTCCTCCCATGATCTGAGCCAGATGTTCACTCAATCCGATCTCATTATGCGCGACATAAGGCAAATAGCCGATCACAACCGCAATACCGGTCAGCTGCTGAATACACTGGCAGGAAACTCCGATAATGATGCGGCGAAGTAGCTTGAGCTCCGATTCCTCGAACAGCAGTTTTCTCAGTGTCATCTTGGGCTGGTTGTGCTCCAGTTCAATGGCTGCGAAGATCTCCGCTCTCTCCTTCTGCAGGACCGGATGTTCCAATGGTAGATCCTTCAGGCGGCACAGCACTTCATCGCCTTCGGTGATCCGGCCCTTGTCGTACAGCAATCGCGGGGATTCAGGCAGGAAGTGGACCATCCCGATGGTGGCAATCGAGAAGACTGCCTGAAAGGCGACGGGAAAGCGCCAGACGACCTGTCCGGTCGCATAGAGCATGCCGTAGTCGAGCCAGTAGGCGATGAGAATCCCGCCACTGACAATCGCGAGCTGAAATGCGACGAGAGCGCCGCGTCGGGTTGCTTTACACGTCTCCGAGACCCATGTAGGGATGGTCCTATCAAATAATAACGAGATTGGCAAATTGAATTTGAATTTTAGCTGGAGACGAGAAGAGAATGCTCACGATGTCGCCATCCCCGTCGCCATACCCGTCACCACTCTCCCCACGATGAGATGCGGAATCGTAAACGCAGTACACTGCAGGATGGTCCCTAGGATACAAATCCACTGTGACACGATAATCGTTAGGCGTCTACCCATTGTCCGTCCAAACTGCGACGCGATCATACACCCGAGGAAACAACCTAGGTTGTACACAGCGACGATTGTGCCGGTCATGGAGGAAGAGGGATATCCGAATTGCGAACGGAAGGAATCCGCGTTGATGATGCCTGCGAAGACGCCATTGTCGTATCCAAACAGCAGGAAGGCAGCGCCGGAGGCGCCACTGATGGCGACCCCGAGGGAGTCTCCTCGTAGTGTTCGAAATCCCATTGTGGTTTCGTACGAGGAGATCAGGGATCTTGTCTAGTTTTCGATATCCCCCGATTATGGTGAATGCTATGTCAAGAATCAAAATTACCAGAACGAAAAGAGATCGAGATCTAGGGTACTAGGTGTCCACCGCATGCTTCAGATATTTTCGAAATCGGGCCTCGATTCAACATCTTATATAGTTTCCATGTGTGATATCAGCATTGTTTTCTTCCCCATGCTTTACCCCGTGGGGTTATCGCGTGTGCCTCCACTAGGACCCCGCAATTGAACTGGTCCAGGTCCAAAGTGATATCATTGACGTCGATCGATTACAACCGGAGCCCATTAGCCTAGATTTTTGACTCTTATGCGGCACTGTGGGAAAGCAGCTGACCGGCAGAACGCTTATTTAGGATCCCCGGCATGTTAAATTAACTTTTGCGGGGGAGTCGCTTGCAGTTTCTTGAACTGACCGGAGGGGACTATGGCTTCCTCGGTTACAAAATCCCCTTCTTCGGCCTTCAGAAGTGGCACCCATGTCGATTCGATATCGAAGTCACAATTATCCTGTTCTATGAGACTACCATTCCGACAGATCGATTGATGATGCATGGGAAAAGATGAGGATGACGACAATGAAGCATTATCGGACACGTAGTGGATGGTAAGCACCTGCTCACTCTTCTCTCTTCCCTTCCCTTTCCCCGTCATCGCCAACGCCAGGCGATCAACCCTGCCTCAGACTCGTCCTATTAGGTTGATTGAAACTTACCTAATTGATCTCCCCTGTCGTGGAATCTAGTTTGACATGTCGCCATCGTCGAGTGAAATGTACGTACCATCTTTATTACGCGTATCAGAATATCATTTCCGAATAGAAAATGGAGTATCCAGACGAGGCGCAGACTTCCTTTTCAGCTCTTTAGCACCGTGCCAAGGGGGTCTATGAAAGCAAACGGTGCATGTGTCGCTCTGTTGTATCCGGTGTTCGAGCCGAAATTTATAATCCATCATTTGTTTGCTGTCACGTGGGATGGTTGCGAATGGCGAGAAGAAGCGTCTCGGACTGAGATGTGGAATTGAGAGTTTAATTTATTTCCAAGAAAGCAAGTATACTAACCTCCGGTCAGGCGACGAAGGTCAACCCAACTGTCTACGATGTGTGAAATCGGGAAGGGAATGCGTCAAGGGATGGAACATTCGATTCATCCATGGCGTCCGCATGAGTAGGAATGGGCACGACGGTACAACAGGAAAGGATGAGAACGCCGAGTTTCTGTTCGAGGAATGGCAGACGTGGTTGCCGATTCGGGGAAAGTCGCGTATGTCATTTGCCGCCGGAGACCAACGATATGCAGGTACCGACTTACGGGAACAGTATCCTTTGTAGATGAGACCAGCGAAACACGCGCATGGTACACGGACGAGGATGAACTGGCCCAGTCATCTCAAGTTTCGCCATCCGAGAAGGAAGCGGAAACGAGGTCGGTGCCGTATCCACGCGAGCATACATCGTTTGAGAATGCCATTCTTACCAGCTCCCCACTCACGCATGACCACGCCGACGGGGTCCATGGAACCCCTTCTGAATTACAGTCTCCCTCGAGCATCCTCCACGGCTATTTCTCCACTTTGCCCATCGAGAGTCCGAAATTGGTTGATCCACAGGAAGCGTTTCTACTCCGTCACTACATCTCGACGCTTGGTGTTGCGCTAGATGTCTGCGATTCACACCGGCATTTTAGCAGCGTAGTGCCCGACCTGGCAACCCGGTCGCCGGTTCTCCTCAACGCCGCCCTGGCAGCGTCCGCACATCATCTGTCACGAGTGACCCATTATGATCCACTGGTCGCGGATATGTACCACGAACGGTGTGTGGAGCTGCTGATCCCTCTGCTAGATGAGCTGTCCTTCGTTCCGGACGAAGTCGTTGCCGCAACCGTACTTCTACGGCTCTACGAGCAGATGTCGTCTGCCATCACAGGGTCTGATTGCGCCAGGCATCTCAGTGGCACTAGTGCATTCATGAACTCGGAAAGCACTTGCGCTACTGCAGGAGGGATTCGTCAAGCTTCGTTCTGGATCTTTCTGAGACAAGATATCGACGTAGCCTTGAATCATCAACGCCCACTTAAATTAAATCTGGACGCATTCGCCCCGCAAATGGACGCGAACGTGCTTTGGGATGACTGGGCGTGGGCCAACCGGATGGTCTGGATCACGGCAGAAATCGTAGCATTCGCATTTACTAGAGACAAGTCTCAATCACGGCTGGAGGAGCTCAAGACGAAGACGGAAGACTGGTGGCGGCACAAGCCAGACTCCTTCCGACCATTGCATGTTGCGCGAGGAGCGGTTTTCCCAGAGGTCCACTTCATTCGACCGTGGCATGGTAAGACAACATTTCCATTTTAAGCAAGACGGCGAGCTGATGATCAGCAGCGATCGGACTGCAGTACTATCACACGGCGATGATACTGTTATTGGCAACTGATACGAGTCGCCTCAGACTCGGAGTAGGATACCGAGAGTCCAGGCAGATCCTGGAGGTAGAGGTCTCAGCTCATTTTGCCATGTTGTTCGGCATCAGCGCCTGCGGGGACGACATCCAGGCCAGGCTCGGTGCTTGCCACGTTGTCACCATCTGTGCACCCTGGATCACAAATCGAACGTATCAGGAGGGAACTATCCGCATCTTGCAACGCCTGGAGCGTGAGAATTCCTGGCCGACTCGAGCGATAGCCCTGGCCGCTATGGAGGAGTGGGAGTGGGAGCAGGATGATCGGCATCGCGTGTTCGGATGAAGCCGAAGTAGCTTCAAACATGGGAAGATGGGGTAATTCGAAGCACGCATTGTCGTCTGGCGATGCTGGAAGCGACGATTTCGTCAAGTCTAAGCGATCTATGAACAACGGGACTTCCTCCGCATCTCGGCGTCTTATCCGATTTCCCAGACCCATTGTCATTTGATCGATATGATTGGTCAGACAATCTCCATCTGTCCTGGAAAATGAACTGTCGGGTCGTCTTCGATGCAAGTCCTACCACCTCAGACATCACGAGGAGAGCTGTCCTGTCGCTTCTGGTTTCTTCGAAAATGCGCCCATGTCTTTCTACACGGCATGACGAGATTCGTGGAGTATGGAGTATGTTTATCCGCGATGTGTCGACCAAAGTCATTATGGCGGGATAGACTATATAGAGTGGCCGGGAAGACCTGAATCTCCGTGCAACCGACCCAAGGAATCTAAGGAGGAAGAGTCAACATGATTAACTTACTCGTCCTTGCCAGCCTCGGGCTGTGCTATCTCATCCTTCGTCCGATTTTCGTATACTTCAAAGACGAGAAAAACTTACGTCGCTTTCCCGCACCATCCATAGCCGGATTCACAAACCTCTGGTCTGCAAATAATTTTCGAAAAGGTCGGCGGTCTCTTGAGGTACACAAAGCCCATCAGAGGCTCGGCCCTGTAATTCGGATCCAGCCGGAGCATATCTCGTTCAACCTTCCCGCAGCAGTCACAGACATCTATGGGTTTTCAACGAAGGTCCAAAAGGATCCCTTCTACGACACATTCACAGGCAATGAGTATACTTCGATCGTCGGCACACGGTCCAGAGAAGAACATGCTCGAAAGCGAAAATATGTCTCAAACGCGTAGGGTGCCAATCCAACTTTCAAAGATCCGGATGATATGCTAAATGAGATATAGGTTTGCGCAGAGGAATATCGTAGACATGGAGCCAATCATTCAACAGCAAGTGGCGACATTTCTGGCCAAGATGGACTCTTTCTGCAGCCCATCACCCTCAGATAATAAAGGTGTTCCGGTTGATGGGACGTTTCACAACGTTCGGAGGTGGCTCAATCTGTTCACCTTCGACGTGATCGGCGCTGCTGCGTTTGGAAAGCCGATGGGCTTCCTCGAGCAGGGAGACGACCTAGCGCCTGCGGAGACCTGGGACGGCAAACGATATCACACGCACGCCATCCGCTCCTTTCATACGAACAGTCGATACGATGTGATTCTAGCCCATTGGCCGAAGCTTCTCTGGCTTACGAAACGTCTGACACAATGGCACCCTGGCAACAAAGGCGGAGCAGACTTCACCGCTCTCACAATTCGCAAGGTTCGGGAAAGGAAAGAAAGCGGAAAGCCGGCAGGATACACCGACTTCTTCCATCATCTCTTGCAAGACCGGAACGGGAAGGACGTCGGACTGTCCATGTTCGAGCTGGAGAAAGAGGCCGGCGTCATGATCAATGCGGGTTCGGACACCACAACCACTGCGATGACCCACTGTCTCTACTACCTTATCCGCAATCCTCCCGTTTTGAAGAAATTGCGCGAGGAGCTGGATGCGGTCCTTGGCGGTCAGGCCACAGCTGCCCGATACGAGCAAGTCAAGGATTTGAAATATCTGCGTGTGTGTCTGGATGAGGCCATGCGTCTGCGACCACCGACATCTCTAGGGCTACCACGGATCACGCCACCGGAAGGTGCGACCATCGCAGGGTATCACATCGCCGGTGATGTCACGATCTCGGTGCCGACGTACACACTGCACCGTAATCCAGAGCTCTTCTCTGACCCAGAGACGTACAGACCTGAACGGTGGTTAGATGAAGTGGAAGGTCCCAGATGCCGGACATATGTGATGCCATTCAGCACCGGACCGAGGGCCTGCATTGGACGCAACTTGGCGTACCTGGAGCAGCAAATCCTGATCGCGACGCTGGTCCATCGTTACGATTGGTGCTTTGAGAGCGACGACCTTGAGCTGAGTACGATCGAGCGATTCAATGCCAACCCGGCAGATATGTGGGTGAAACTGTGGAGAAGGGAGCCGAATGTGCAGGTGTAATGGAGCGGTCGCGGCGTGAGAAGCGGTTGAACTGCAACTATGCCTTTATTCTCCTTTTCTTGGAATATATTTCGAATCATATCATCACGGCATCAGGAGCATTAAATATCCAGTCAAAGTATAAAAAGGAAACAGTGTCAAGGCGTAATGTTAGAGTATGATGTCTTTGAAGTATTGTAGAGCCACGCGACGGTAGTTCCTATAGCTCAGTGCCGCTCAAGCAGCAACTCAGGGTCGCTCAGTGAGCAGCTCAGGGCGTCGGGGTGACTTAACTCACCCTGTGCTCCGGGACCCACTATAGCCGTATACCGTGGACACACTAAGCCAAAATAGGTCTAGCATAATTATATGTCATCATCCCCACTCCGTTCGACACCTCCAACTTTCCCTATCACATCTCATGTTAAGATCTGGAAAATCATTATCTCGATTTCATAATTAGCCTCACAATTAACATCTGAAGCCTATGTCATGTCGACACGGCATATTTCGTGGTTCCTATACTCCATCCTAGCCATCCTACTCTCTTTCGGCAATGCAGCAGAACAGCAACCACTACAAGCCGTAGATGCAACCCCAAGGAAGGTAGCAATTATTGGTAGGTATCCGGCCCAGCCAACTCAAGCTCAAAACTAAATCATCCCGTAGGAGCCGGAGCTGGCGGCTCATTTGCAGCATATGAACTGCGCAAGCTCGCGGACGAAGCCGACACCCCTGTGGAGATCACAGTCTACGAACGTGAATCATATGTCGGCGGCCGTTCGACCACAGTAAATGTCTTCGACGACCCCGCCTATCCCATTGAACTGGGCGCGTCCATCTTCGTCCAGGTTAATTATAACCTAGTCAACGCTTCCCGCGACCTAGGTCTGACAGTCCGCAGCGCTGACTATGCCCGACCGCGGGAGACCGATGAAAGCATTGGCATCTGGGACGGGTCGCAGTTTGTATTTTCATTGAAGAATACATACAGCTGGTGGAATATTGGCCGGCTTTTCTGGCGGTATGGGCTTGCGCCGCTGCGCACTCAGAATCTGATGAAGAAGATTGTTGGTCAATTCTTGCGGCTTTACGAAGGGCCTCTATTCCCATTTAGCTCACTTTCCGAGGCGGCTGTTGCGGCGGAGTTGTTGAATGCGACTTCATCTTCGGGCGAGGCGTTTCTCCATGCCAATGATATTGGGCCACTTTTCGCGAGAGAAATTATCCAGGCTAGCACTCGTGTGAACTATGGCCAGAATCTGCACTTGATTCATGGGTTGGAGTCTATCGTTTGTATGGCTACCGATGGGGCTGTCTCAATTGAGGGCGGGAACTGGCGCATATTCGATGCCGTGCTGAGCGCCTCGCACGCGCATGTCAACGTGAACACTACTGTCACAGGGATTACACGGAATGATGACGGTACCGTGCAAGTATCGTCGAAGCTGAACGCTGCTTCCACTTCTGAAGAGACCTTCGATGAAGTTGTCATTGCCGGCCCTTTACAGTACTCTGGCATTTCTATATCCCCTGGGTTAGATCACACCCCGGATAAAATCCCCTATGTGGATCTGCACGTTACTCTCTTCTCATCTCCGCACCGCATCACACCGCAGTACTTCGGACTCGATACCAATGCCAGAGTACCGGAGACTATCTTGACGACCCTCCCAGAGGACTTCAGTCCGGAAAATTTGGCTGAAGTCGGGCCCAGCCGTTTCTGGAGTATCAGTACTCTTCGAACGGTAGATCATTCCCCAGTGGATTCTGAGGGAACACAACAGCATTATGTTTATAAGATTTTCTCACCAGAGCGTCCAACAGCTGAGTTCATTGCCAGCATTCTAGGTCTAGAGAAGGACGCTACGTCGAGCAATGCGACTATTGGAGATCTTTCAAAGAGTGATATCAGCTGGTTCCATGAGAAATTGTGGAACCCATATCCTGTTTTATACCCGCGAGTCACATTTGAAGATACTCTTCTGGCTCCGGGTGTGTGGTATACAGGTGGTATTGAGAGCTTCATCTCAACAATGGAGACCAGTGCGCTGATGGGCCGGAACGTGGCGACGCTTATGTTTCAGTCATGGCAGAAACAAGTTCGGACAGATGACGGAGCTTTTCCGGATGGGAAGTCTGAGCTATGATCTTCTAAACTATACGTCTTAGTCTTCTGTAGATGAACAGATATCATGCAGTACTGTAATTCACGTTTTCATCCGCACAAAAGAAAAGGGAAATGTCGAAAGGACCTCCTCCCCACCCAAGCCTGGCGGCGTAATTGTATTTCACTAGGCACTACTAAGTCAAAATGTATGAATTTCTTACTATTCGCATCTCGCCTTCAATTTCTCTAATCCTGGCCCCGGTAAGCTGGCCAATAGGCAGTCACCTGACTGCACTAGACTCTACATGAGAATACCGTAATCCATGGAAGAGAAAGCCGGGTCCCAGAGAAAGCCATCGGGCACCCGGCCTTATAATCAGATGCATGTGTCTTAAGTTCGTAAGTCCCATAAGGCAGAGCGCCAAGCCTCTAGATATATGCCATTCCGGTGGCCACCACTAATGATATTGCGAGCAGCGATCGCGGAGATGCCCAGGCTACCGCACCGCTGGTTGCCTTCTCGAAGCTCACTAGCGACTGATCGCTCGCTCCAACGTGGAGAACCTGCGATGAGTTGGCCGAGTCGTAGGTGCCCTTAAAGTCGATGCTGAAAGTCACGTTCACCTGTTCATTATGGGATCCATTTAGGTCACCGAAGCCAGCGACCGTCGTCCCCGAGATGGATAATGTGAGCGTGTTATTGGTCATTGTCCCGTTGATCATAGTCCCTGACGGCCATCCGATCAATATATCACCCATCGTACTGCAGGTTTTCGCAGGTAAATGGATCTGATCTTCATGCGTGCCGTCACTCGCGAAGATGGTCTGGGCCGACCTCAGGCTCGACACGTCGTAGACCCCTCTAAATTGGACCTCGTGGCTGTCATTGCCGACCTGGGTGACATTAAGGACCACGGCGTCGATGGCCCCCTCGACATCCCTATTCGTCTCCTGGACGTACTCGCGCCAGTCGACGGTTGTCTTGAGATGCACGAGATTCACATCTGCATCGCAGGAGTTGTAGGAATAGGTGATGTTGGCGATAGGATTATCAGACTGCCAGGCCTGGAAACCCATTGTAAAAGGATTGTGAAGGTCTGCTGGAGTAGGCGTTCTCGGCCCGACCCATGCGATTCCCAACATGCGAATCGAGCGATGGTCCTTAGGGCAATCGGTTCCAGAGTAGGTGTTGTTGATTGGCAGATCGCGAATTACGTAGTCAAAGGAAGCTTCGCCTTGGAAGTACAGTCCATTCCAGTCTGTATACGCGCCAGGGTCGCCAGCGACCATTGTGTAATTGAGGTAATAGCTCGGCTGTAGGCCGGTGGTTGTGAGTTTGTGGTCATCCGAGCAAACATAAGTGCCGCCGCTGGATGAGGAGTCGTCGCTGTCGCTGCTGGTCCCGCTATCGCTGCTGGAATCGCCATTGCCTCTGCGGGATAGAACCCCAGTAGGAATCGACAGGAATGCAAAAATTAGGAATATAGGCTGGCAGAGCAACATAGTGCCCGGCTTTGTCCAGCCTGAGCAGTGAAAGCACAGAAACACAGAAAGAAACGCTCGAGGGTCGTCGCAGCTTTCAAGCACTGGCACCTCGCGAACTATGCTATTTAGGGGTTGGAGGGGCCAAGAGGACTAAGGCGCCAAGGACCTAGACGGGATGAACCTCGTATTCGCCGCCATCGCGAGCCGCGACAAAGGATCAGGTCGGTTTGTAGAAAGGACCGCCACCCTGTGGCTTGGTTAGCACGAGCACAAGTAGCCAAGGCGTGCGTGTGGGAGAGTTGCGAGCTGAAATCTATCCCACTTCCGGACTAGCCTTCCAGCACCACCATTTTTCCAATTGTTTCTATTGCCTCGCTTCCCAGCCTGCCAAGACGATCCAAAAAAAACTGGGGTCCTAGAGCCAAAATTAATGCACCCTTTTCTCCTTCTGGGGGTAGAAGTAGCCAGCCCGCTGGAGGTGGATGCCAGTACAGTTACGCGACAAGGCACGTATTTTTAATATTGAGACTGCTCCAGAAATAGTGATATTCTGGCGTTGTCCCTAAAACGGTCTAGTGTATCTTGGCAGTGGGGCCAGAGAATCTCTCGAAGAGTGTAGGCGGTTGCACCAGTTTCGGGACGTACTGTATGTAGGACGGGGAGAAGGGTTTACCATACAATTTTCAATCTAAAAAAAAAAAAAAAAACTCTATTACTTAGAACCACCAGAACTCAGCCATTTCTCGTTCAATTTCATTGCTTTTTAATGCACATCAAAGAGAAATGGCATGGCTACCGCTGTGCCTCAAAAAAAATCTCGAAAAATAAAAAGCTAAGCCCAACGCGGGGGTCGAACCCGCAGCCTCGAGATACACTACAACCCAAGGTATTGCAACCTATCAAAGTTCCCGAAGGAAGGGTCTTCCGTAGAAGTCTCGCGCGCTACCATTGCGCCAGCCGGGCGGTTGTTGAATTTTTGAGTCAATTTCGCATAAATCAGTGGAAAACTCTATTGTTAACTAGTTGATTATTATCTAGGTACACAAAGAAAANAAAAAAAAAAAAAAAAGAGCGAAGTAAAGCAAGAAGGAAAGTGAGAAACCAAGTAAAAAGCAAAGTGAAACGGAAAGTGGGACGATATTTAATAACCAGAGTATACCAAATCTGTTTCACGCGGTTTCCATATCGCTTATCGCCATTTTCTTTTTTTTGGCGGGGTTCACATTTTCACTTCCACTGCACAATGGATCCCTATGACAGTGACTCGAGTCTCGACGAGGATTTCACCGATACTGGTGTTCTTCTCGGCTATGCCGCTGAGGAAGTCATTGAAGACACAATCAGCCATCTAGGAGGCTGGCCCGTATGCTCAACCCACCATCTGCAAACCCTCAAACCCAAAACACTCAGCTAACAATACCATAGAAATGGCTCGATGATGCCTCCCCAGCCCCAGGCGACTTCGCCAACTGCAAGGTCTGCAATAGTCCAATGCTCCTCCTTCTCGAGTTACACGGCGACCTGCCCGACCGTTTTCCAACCGACGAACGGCGCCTTTACCTATTCGGCTGCCCCAGAAAACCCTGCAACCGCAAGCCCGGGAGCATCAGAGCCTACCGCGCAACCCGCAAGGTAACAGTCGGCACAGAAAAGCCAAAGCAAACCGACGAGCCCAAAAATGAAACCCCGCCTTCCGCCCCCGAGCAACCAAAGCAAGACCTCGGCGCAAGCCTGTTCGGCGCGACAACCTTAACCAACACGGTCTCCTCAAACCCAAACCCATTTTCGTCCTCCACAGGCCCAACACCCGCAGGAAGCAACCCCTTCGCAACGCCCGTGCCAGGTACCCCAGCCGAGAAAAAGCCCGCGCCCGCAAAGCAAGAACAATCCCTAGCGGAATCCTTCGCGGACAAAGTGCGCGTCTCAGAACCAAACCCCCCAGCAGCCACGAAACAAACCCCGGAATCAAGCAGTGACACAACACCGTGGCCCGCGCAATCCGCCTTCCCACCCCCATACAAGAACTTCTACCTAGATGCCGAATACGAGACCCTCAGCCGGCCCTCAACGCCCACAGTACCGGAAAACGTAACAATGGAACCGATGGACGAAGAAGGCAGCGGAGCCGCCGACCTAAAAGACACCTTCGAGTCCGAGCTCGACAAAGCCTTCATGAAATTCTCCACCCGCCTCGCCCACAACCCAGAGCAAGTCCTGCGCTATGAATTCAACGGTGTGCCCTTGCTCTATTCGCATAGCGATGCCGTCGGCGCGAGGTTCCATGTGAACAGTGCGCCGAATGCGAAGGTTACTACTACGACACTGGGCGCGGGCAGTATCCCCCCTTGTGAGTATTGTGGTGCGCCTCGTGTCTTTGAGTTCCAACTTGTGCCGCACGCTATTAGTATGCTTGAAGAGGGACGTGCTGGTGTTGGACTTGGCAAGGATGATGCCGGGATGGAGTGGGGGACTATTATTCTTGGAGTTTGTTCGAGGGATTGTAAGCCTGATGGGCTTGGCGTTACTGGTTGGAGGGAGGAGTGGGCTGGTGTGCAGTGGGAGGAGATTAGATAGTTTATATTTACATAGAGTGGGCTAGGAGGACAAAGAAATAGATACTGCTATTTTCGAAAACATTCAATGATTGTGTCATTGTTTTCTCTGTCCATTGTTTGCAAAATTAGTATAATGCAGTAAGCATCTAAAAAAGAGAATGTTTTGGTAAGGGTTAACATTTCTAGGGAGCTCCATATCGGATATCAAACCACGCTCGATGGCTTTCCTTTTCCGTTTCAGTACCACTCCCCTTTCTGACCGGGATCGATTTAAAACAAGGGCATACCTATAAGAAACCCATTTCTTGACGAATGGACACACCCCTCTCCTGGACCTATCTAATGTAGAATATATGTAAAATGTACCTAGTATCCATAGAGTGTAAAGTTATAGTGAGTTTTCCCTTGTCTAGAGGAAGGTCTAACTTGACATATATATAGATCTTAATTGGGGCTATGAGGCAAGAGACTGGTTTTGTCTTGGGGACATCTGCCTACGTGCTCGTACTATATCAAGGGATTTGTTGAGAATTTTTAACATCTATCGGGGCACCTTTCGAGAAATCTTCCTGGGTATCATAGGCAATAGTACCTAAACAGCAGGCTCACAGAAAGCACTACTAGGTAAAAGACATGAAATTGACAAGCATACTCTGTCTAAGCAAAGCAGCCTCATTCCCAGCTACATCGCGACGTCCTTATATATCCTTACCCCTTACTCCTTCTGACCTGACTCTCAATAATTGCAAATGTGGTCAAACAAACCATCATCTCCCACTTCTTAGTCTCTTCGTCACGAAGTGTATTGTGATCTTGTCCGTTCTTTGCCGTATATGCGATGAACAGGCTGCCGGCCTTCATCGTCCAAGAGCTGCTTCCTACCCACTTTGCTAGGAGCTGTCCATCTTCCTCATCAACGCCTCCAGCGCGGAGTTCCATACTCTTCAGCCTCCCTAGAACGCCATACGATTTCCGGTATGTGTATGTCATTCTCGCTGCACCGGTTCCGAAATTAAAATAGTACACCTTGTGACTATACTTCTCGGGCCGTCCCAGTCTCTCCCATATCATCTGCTTGCCCTCTATCTCTCCGGCTGGATCGCCAAGCCCGATAGTGAAGCCGCGACGGTGCATTTTCACAACCCCTAGGACTTCTCCGTCCTTAGAGTCTCCTTGGTGAAGTAGAAGGTCAAATTTGTGCTTTGAGAGAGTCTCGTGGGTTTCAATGTGGTATATAGAGTCGGCCTGAGGACCAGGCTTTGTGATGTGATACGCCTGAAGCTTCCCTTTGGACACGAGCTCATGGGAAAGCCCTTGGCCAAGATTCACGGCAGCCGTAATATTCGGCACGAGAGTGTCAGAGTCTATCAGTGATGTAGTTGTTGACATTGTGAAAATGAGGTAATTGGGAGAACATAAAAGGTAAGGCTGCTGTACCTGGGATTGAGGTGGACAGAATGTATGGAGAGAAAGAAACTAGAGAGGCTGTGGTCGCTCCATTATATACAAACTAGATCACCCCGTGAGCATTGAAAGCACAGCTTTAGAAAAGGTATGCGCTAAACCACATATGGTCAAAATCCGCGAACGCTGATCCCGTAATTAGTTCCAGCGAATCCACAAGGCGATTGGCTAGAGGGAACGGCATCGATCTTCTAGGTCAAATCTCTTGTAGCATGTGTATATATTGGTTTATTATTATAGAGCTATGTGGGGTTCATTTTTGTCCTTATACCCGTCTGATTGAGGCGAGAGTACCGAGCGTTGTCCCATTCAGAATACAAAACAGACGATATATCCAAGATGTTAAACGACCCTAGATACGACAGGGAGCAGATAGTGCACGCCGAGACGGAATCAACCTGGCTTCCGCGATACGCTCAAGGGCAATGATATAAGCTTCCCCAACAGGAATCTCCTCTTCAAAGTCCATGCCTCGAATCTTACCAAGAGACATCTCGCGGTTACGATCAAGAAGCGTAAAACCAGCCTTAACAAAAATCCACGACGAAGAAGGAACATCACGATGTTCGAGGTTATACGTCTCGCACATCCGTTGGTAATCTTCTTGGTGCTCATTCCATCACTCTTCGAGATCCTGCCAGCCCTTCTCGCCTGGTCCGATCCCCTTCAGGCCAATGTATTCTGCTATGGTAGGCCATTTCATAGACCAGGACCCCGGGACATCCGTGTCGGCGATATTGAAGGCTTCGCCGTTCGCCTGTTCGGGTTGGATCACCGATAGGTAGATCTCAGACTTTGAAAATCAGATCTTGGGATGAGTCTGTGAATGTGTAGGTGAAGTTGGTTTTTGTGCCGGGGAAGATGATGCTTGCGCCTGGACCGTTGACAAATCGGTAGAGAGCAAGGTAGAGAGCTAGTGGCTCGACGAAGGTCATGCCACTCACATTCGGGACGAATCCTGAGCAGTTCAATGTAAGAAAGGGAGGAGAAAGGTGGACTGGACTGTAAGTGAAGGTAAAGTAAAGGGGATCTCACCTATGATCTGGTCAGGACGAACCTCACACCACTTCCATGATTTGCCCTTGGCAGCCTCCCTGATCAAATCAACTTGATCGCAGTAAAAGATTTCATCTCCATATGGCGATAGGATTCGGGAATTATCTTCTTTCAGAGGAGGACTGATCTCAATCTTGTCCATGTACTGGAACACTGCAACGCCGTAGTTCTATCGAGGTCAGTGTAGCTCGGGCTAAAGTAAGGAATGGAACTTACATTGGTTCCAGTCTGAAGAACTAAGAATTGGAGCCGCGAGCAGAGCGAATCGGTTGCGTGGACGGCATTATACGCCATGTCTTTATTGATATTCTTGATGTCCATCACATTTTCGGTGTACGCGGTAGCATTGGAGTATGCTATGGTTGGTTGGTATTCTGTTTAATGTTAATGCCAAGCGATGCATATCGTATCACATACCAAGATAGTACATATGTGTGACTTGATCTAGACCTGGAATACGTTCCTGCATCTGCTTCTTCACATTGTCGAGGTCGGTCCGGAGATCAACTCCAGAGTACAGCTCTAGTCGAGGGCCTTGAGGTAGGCCGCTCTCAGCAATTGTCCGTGGACGATATGTTAAACCGATAACCCGATCAAAGGTGGTAGCAGTGGGATAGGATAGTAGATTTTTGGCCACGGCCCATCCGGAGATCCCACTGGCACCAAAGACCAGGGCTACTTTCTTCCCGTCAGACATTATGAGGATTGGTCTTGAGAAATAAGGAGGTATCCAAAATGACCCAGCTCAAGCGATATTTCTCCTGTTATGTATTTCCGGACCAAAAAGTGCCTGGCATCATTCAAGCCCCCAAGAGCTATTCCGGTTGGTAAGTACTAGGCCCACATAGGGCTTCGACCGGGGTGAATTGGCTCCTAGGATTCGGCCAAGAAACCGGAATGTACATTACTGTATACGCGAGGACGTTAGCAGCCCTAAATGAAACTGATCGTTGAAGCCCACCGGGTTGGGGGCCGAGTGATTGCTCCTTCCAGAACTGATCGACAGTTTGACGGATGCTAGTCAGGTCCTATATTAGCATCGGCTTATACTGACTCGAGTTGACTCTAGTTGACCCTGGGGCCAAGCGCTAATGCCCCGTTAGGGCCGTTCCCGCAGCGGCCCGAAATTCATGACGGGGCAGGGATCGGACGCCATGGCGCAGGACTAGTGTACATTTCAGGTCCACTTTCAACTTGGTTGGCAAATGTCCCAATTTTAGTCTCGGGAAAAAATGAATGAATCTCCGTACAGTAAAACAATTCAGTTGTATTTTAGGGATCAGACGGGATAATAAGTGGGTAAACTCCACTTCAGTCATGGAGCTTAGAGATGCTCTAAATAACTTGAAGTTAAACGGTTAGACGTAACGTAAAGCTACTTAACATTGGCCATATTGCCTGCAATATGTCATGCCATAGGCAATCTTTTGTAGTTTACATGTCAGATGATTCAGTTGCGTAGAAGGAACTTCTCAGGTCTTTTTTATTGACACAAAATCCCTCAAAATTTGAGATGCCAATTTGATACAGTACCATGACCGCAGGATTTAGTGGAGACGCATCCATGGAGGTACCATTCCGACATAGGTAGTTCAGCCGAGACCACTCTGGAACCACTACGATTGGCCCCAGAGACACACTGGAAGGATGAGATGCATGGGGGCCTCTGCAAGAAAAAGGAGCAATTGACTAATGGAAAGAAAAGGCTGAAAAACTGTGCGGTCCTTCGTAGTAGCATCTGTCAACAATGGCATTCTGAATGAGAAGTCCTGCAGTTTTATCACCCAAAATGGAATCCCTTATGCCGTCTGGCATTCTGCAGCGAGCGGGTATCGAATCAGGCACCCGACAAGCTGCAGTCTTTGGCGTGGGGATAAGCTTCATAGTTTTCATTTCTATCGTCATGGCTATACGAATGTGGGTGCGAGTTAAGGTCATTCGAGCCGTTGGAAGTGACGATAGTAAGTTTCTTGTCAGATTCAAGTACTGTCTAAGCACGAAGGCTAACTACTTTCAAGTTATGATGATCCTGGGAACTGTATGTGAAGGCCGCTCTTCTCCATGGGCGCTATTGACGAAGGAATTGGCCAAATATTCACCTTCAGTTTATCCATTGCTTCAATGGTAGGTATTTAAGGACTATCCTACTGATTTAGAATATCACTGACCTGAATCCAGCGGCGCATTATGGTACCGGCAAGCATCGTGCGTTTTACTCCCCTTCCAAGGTCAACCTATAGATCAATTCTAATCCCTTACACAGTCAGTGGTATCGCCGAGGAAGTCTACGCGCCAATGCTAAAGGTAATATAACCATTCGAAAATGTCAAGTCAAGTTGCCTAACAGCCATCCCCTTCAGTCTATCTGGTCAACTCGGCTGCTATACGTGATAGGAATCATGTTTATCAAACTATCCTTACTCTGGCTCTATCTCCGTCTCGACCGGCACGGATATATGAAATGGGCAGTCTATGCCCTATCATTTGTTGTATTGGGATTGTCCATTTCGAGTGCCTTGATTCTCATCTTTTCCTGTTTCCCGCCTTCCAAGTTTTGGGACATACCCGGGACTGTTTCCGGCCACTGCATGTCGGCGAGCTCCCAGCAAACCTTTTATGAGGCTAACGGTGTTCTCAATATTGTAACCGATATACTCATTTACCTAACTCCCATCCCGATGTTATGGAAAGTGCAAATACCTTTGGTTCATCTTGAGATCTATCCCAGCTTTAGAGAAAAGCCGCTTACACTGCGCAGCGCAAGAAGATTGCTCTTACGGGAGTCTTTGGACTTGGAAGTCTCGCTATTGCCGGTAAGACTCATGAGATGCATTTTCTTTCAAGGGATGCTAATTGTTTTCAGCCGGTTGCGTGCGATATGTCTATGTGAAGAGGCTAGCGGGTATCAAAGACCAGTATTATGAACTCGCGGATTCCCTTAATTGGTGCAGTATCGAGAATTATGTTGGTGAGTACGAGCAAACTCCCCGGCATCGAATCTGAACTGACAAGGACCGCTATCCCAGCCATCGTTTGCGGATCAGCGCCTTCTTTCTCGGTCCTCGTCAAGACCTATGCTACCCGTCTTTTCGGCATCTACTATGGCGACCAAGTATATCAGACTTATAGCCGCTCCCATGATCAACCACTACAACGTATTGCGGATCGCTTCCGTGCAGATGACCCTACCATTACTACTGGAAGCCAAGAGGCCATCGTGCCTACTGGGGGAATCTTGATGAAGACGGATTTGCACATGGAGGTGGGGCCATCTGATCCAACAGAGAATCATGCGGAGGAATAAGTATGATGGAGGGTTCTAAAAGATTACAATTGTATATAGTTCTGTAGCAAAATATACAGAAGCCGGGGATAAATTAATGAACTTGATTCCTTTCTATGCACATGGATTCGTAACCTGCATCCCAATCATTCTAGCTAAAACTTGTATTGACATGAACTTTTCTATAATTCCAACCTTAAGATGCATAATCTACTCCATCTCAATGGTACCGGGGGGCTTGCTGGTGAAGTCATAGGCGACACGGCACACACCCTGGACCTCGTTGACGATACGGGTAGAGACCTTGGTCAGGAACTCGTAGCTGAAGGGGTAAGGGGTGGCGGTCATGAAGTCCTTGGTGGAGATGGCACGGAGGAGGATGATGTTGGCGTAAACGCGCTTGTCACCCATGACACCAACGGCGCGGGAGGGGTCCAGAGCGGCGTAGGCCTGGCCGATATCGTCGTACAGACCGGCCTCGCGGATCATACTGATGAAGATGTGGTCGGCGTGGCGGGCCGCGTCGACCTTCTCCTTGGTGACCTCGCCTAAGACACGGATAGCAAGACCGGGGCCTGATTTTGCCGTTAGCTGTTTGGCCTGGGTTTTTGTTGTCTTTGTGGATACTTACCAGGGAAGGGGTGGCGGCCGACAAGCTCGGGAGAGATGTTAAGCTGGCGACCAAGCTCACGGACCTCGTCCTTGAAGAGTTCGCGCAAAGGCTCGATCAACTTCAGGCCGTGACCGGCAATGAGGCGCTCGGCGATACCGCCAACGTTGTGGTGGGTCTTGATGGTCTGGGAAGGTCCCTTGAATGAGATACTCTCAATGACATCTGAGATATGTTAGCATGCCAATCACGAATAAAGAGGCATTGAGGCCTTACCAGGGTAGAGAGTGCCCTGCAAGAACCATTCGACCTTTCCGGCGTTCTTGGCCTCGATCTTGCGGGCCTCCTCCTCAAAGACATCGATGAACTTGCCACCAATGAACTTGCGTTTCTGCTCGGGGTCGTGGACACCCTTCAGGCCAGCCAGGAATTCCTCGGAAGCATCCACAACGGTAAGGTTGATACCGAGCTGCTTCTGGAGAACATCCTTGACGACAGCGCACTCGTTCAGGCGCATGCAGCCGTTGTCGACCAAGACGGCGTGGAAACGGTCGCCGATAGCCTCGGTCATCAGCTTGGCAGCAACGGTAGAGTCGACACCACCGCTGACGGCTCCCAAGACCTGACCAGTAGGGCCAACCAGGTTGCGGATACGGGTGATCTCCTGGCCAATGAACTCAGACATGGTCCAGGTCTGCTGGGCACCACAAATGCCGACAGCAAAGTTCTTAAGAAGCTGGCCGCCCTGAGGAGTGTCTGATATTTCGTTAGTCCAAGACCAAGAGAGTCCTATTTAGAAACCATAAACTCACGGGTGACCTCGGGGTGGAACTGGATGCCGTAAACGGGCTCAGTTTGGTGTGCGATAGCCGCGTACTCGGAATTCTTGGTTGTGCCAATGGTGTGGAAGCCCTCGGGAAGGTTGCAGAGCTTATCACCGTGGGACATCCACACGGTCATGGCATCCTCAAGACCCTCGAAGAGCTTGTCGACATGGCCTCCGAAGCGGGTGGCCTGCAGGTCAGCGTGACCGTACTCGCGAGCGGTACCAGCAACGACGTTGTCGGCGTGCAGACGGTGGGCGATCTCCTGGAGACCGTAGCAAATTCCGAGAATGGGGACGCCCAGGTCGAAGAAGGCGGGGTCGATGTGGGGAGCATCCTTCTCGTACACGGAGTAGGGACCACCGGACAGGATGATTCCCTTGGGGCTCCAGCCGAGATCGGCCAGCTTCTGGGTGCAGGGGAGCATCTCAGAGTAGACATTGATCTCTCGTAGACGGCGGGTAATAAGGTGGGTGCTGCACGAGGTGGTCGGTTAGACTCGACGAATTGAGACGCAAAGTTGGGTTGACCACAAGATTCGACCACCGGCAAGGAGAACATACTATTGCGATCCATTGTCGAGCACCAGGATGGTGTCGAAGCTGTTGTGAGGAATCACCTCAGTCATGGTGAAAGAGTTGAGTCACACAGTGATCTCAATAAAGTTGAAAGGGGTGGAGGCAAACACAGATCAAATGCAATTGACTGTGAAGGGGTATATGGGCCAAATGAAATAACCTCCAGAGGAATATCGCAATGAGTCAAGGGAAGGAAGAAATCTAAGAAACCGATAAGAGAAGAAAAAAAAGTGGTACATGGGGAACACCCGCATTCTGCCGCCAATTAGTGTTTCTGATTGGCCAGATATGATTCCGCTTTCATGACTAACGAGGGGCAACGTGATAAGGCCCTAAAGCGACTGTTATATACGCAATTGCATTGATCTCTTGTATTTGACACTTGGTGAGATCTACCACTCTGGCTCGCTGTCACTACCGGGGTATGCCTTCTTCCTCAACTTCCATAATGACTTTTCACGCGCAGCAGCTTCACGTTGGTGACGACTGTTGTCTTCCACAACGGTCATCCAGGGCACATTGCTGGCTCTCCGTATCCTCTCGCGCAGAAGAGCAAGGGTTCGGTTATGCTCGGGATCACTATCATTGGCAGAGTCGCCAGTTTTGCGCGACCGGGATGCTGACATCTGGTAGCGACGTTCTGCCGCACGAGCGGCATAGTATTCTTCACTGATAGCCCAATTCGGGTTATCAATTTGACCACGAACCAGCACAAGGCCATGGCCTTCCTGAATTGACTTTTCAAGGAGGGAAGAGGGAATAGGCGTGGAGAGTTCAAGCTTGTGCGTAGAAGTATTGATCGAGCGGACCAAAGCCAGACCGAGACAATGCGACGATCTTGGATCCAAGGGAGTGCAACTGCCGGACCCAATGAAAAGATATGGAAGGTCTTCACGTGTTCGCACAATGCTTGCAGACGCGGCAACCTGTATTGAATCACTCAAACCCGGGTTCTCTGAATCCAGGTCCATGTCCGAGTCATTCGAGGCCGCAGGTCTTGCCATTTCACCTGTGATGGCGCTCGGCGATTCCACTGCCACGATACCTACAATAGCTCCTTCGAGAGTTTCTTGCAAGAGATCAGGGTTGATCTGAGATCCCATGACCATGATACCCGTGATTCCTTGTCGTGAGCCCGCGTATTCCACAGTGATAGGTCTGGTACGAGAGAGGGGAACATCCGTCCACAATGGTGTGCTGAGATCAGTCGGATGAGTCATGTGGAAGTATGACTGAATTTGCATGGCGCGTAGTTGAGCGCTTGATCGGCTCACAAAGTCGGTGGGCTGCGAAGGAAGGATGGTCATGGGGACGCGAGCTTCACGGGCTGCCAGAGCCAAAGGATCCACGACCTCTGATGGACCCTTTTCGCTCATATAAACCATATCGGAAAGACCGAGAGTTCTGACCAACCATGTTGCAACCTCTAATCCTTGACCAAAGATCCAACCAGGATAGTTGATAATCAGAGGGCACCGAGGATACTTGTCCAACAACGAGCGATATTGATCCATCAGATCCATGACAGCCATAGCATAGTGGTCCGGGTCTTCTTTGGGTGATGTTGCACCAATATGATGCGCTCGCACCATTTCACCATCGCGGGATTCGTCCAGCGATGGGTGAGTGAAGGGCGGACCAAAGAATGGAGAGCGCACGCGCGCAAGATAAACCTGGCCCATAGGGGCAAACTCTGGCTGACCTGGGTCTAGATCCAGGAAAGCAACACCGTCCGTATTCGTGTATCCAGTCTCGACCTCAGGCGCAGCACTGAGAACATGGTTCAATAAGTAGCGACTGAAAGTAGATTTTCCAGACGCTTTGGGACCGCATACCAGAACACGAAGTTTGCTTTGGCGCTGTGAGAGGGCTTTCATCGAAGCACTCCATTTCTTGTCGAGGTGAAGAGGTCGGAGATGTCTGTTCAAGGTATCATCTGACGATGTGTACAACTGTCAAACCGTTAGCCTTGGCTTTGCACTCGAATAAAGGGAAGGCCACTCACAACTGAGAAGGTTCGCTTCGAGTCGTTCGCAGCGCCCTTCAAAGTGATTTTATCTGCAGCTGTGTTCTGACCAGCCCAGATCTTTTGATATAGAGGTGAAAGGTCCCGGAGACGGGCGATGCCGCTGCTGCAAGACTTAAGCTCGACTTCTGCTTCACCGTCAATTCCAGAAACACATTTGATAACTGGCAAGGAGTGTGTTGAGGGGGCATAGACTCTATGCACGTCTGCGGAAGGGTGCAGTTTCGCGCCCATCAAACTAACAACACCTCTTTTAACCCAAATGTCATAATGACCAATCAGTGCAAGATTCTGTACCAAGTCAGCAAGGCCACATCCATCAGTCGGGTAGTTTTGTACATACTGCTCTCTCCTTGATACGGACACAGAGAGTGTTACCATCACTGTAGACAATGTTGTTCTTGCTCAACCGAGCCTTTGATAGAGGGAAGTTTTGGAGTTCTGCCGGGGTTTCCGCGGGCGATTCATAGCCATCGGCATCACCCACGACAGATGCAACTTCGTCCTCGTCCATTTCATCGGCATTTGCGACTTCCTCTTGCTCGGACTCAACGTCTGATTCCTCGGGGGCATTCTCCGGCTCCGGCTGGGCTTCAGACTTATGAGACCGGGTGACTCTTGTAGGCTGTTCTGGCGTTTTCTCGGCAGGCAATGGCTCATCTTGTTTCTTTGCTGCCCTTGTTCGTGGGCGACGCTCTCCATTTGGTTCAGTCTCGGCTACTTCGAGGGATCGTCGCCGCTTTTTCGAGGGCGGCTCACTTGCAGCTACAGCTTGCGGCGCCTCTTTTGGTACGGCTGGCTCCAGCACTTGTTGCTGGCGAGCTTTGCGCGCAGCGAAGGCTGCGAAAGCGCTCAGCGGAGCTAGAAAACGACAGGCGTGTGAGATTTACATTGGCGTCGCGGGGCATGGAGTTATGGAGCTTACCACCTGCTTGCTGTTTCTCGGCCTTTCTCTTCATTGCATGTAATTGACCCGCAGTGAGAGTTAGAGAGAAAACGACCGTTTTGATAATGCGGTCCAAGGCGATAAGCAAAAAAAGTTGGCCTGTGGTCCGTGCTCCCGCGGAGCAGAAAAAAAAGATCGGCCGTTCAATTCGAACATTCTCACTCAACGTCAACTATTGCGGATTTGCGAGTTCGCAATTATATTCCTGGAAAGGATTTATTGACCGCTTCACTGAATTTGCATCGTGGGACTTGGCTGCGCCAGCATTCCGCGCATCCTTTGCGAAAGCATCGTCGGTCTTCGCTTTGCCCGATACCTTGAACAGCCGCCATGGCATCCGATAGCGATAGCAGCTCAAGCAGGTCGACCTCGCCCGAGCCTACGACTAAGCAAGAAAAGAACATGAAGAAACTCTCGAAGGCACAGGAATCAAGCTCAGATGAGACCTCGAGCTCGTCGGGCTCAGACTCTGACAGCGACTCGGACAGCTCCAGTGAAATGAAGCCTACAACCTCGGGCGAGAAGTAAGCGGTTCTCTATTTCTAATACCAACATACAATGGGTCTAATCTATGCAACCTTCAGGGTCTCAATCTCCGGTCCTCAGCCCTACAAGCCCCCCGCGGGCTTCAAGTCAGCAAAGAAGCAAGCCCCGCCATCCTCCAAAACTTCCTCCCTTCTCTCCAACCTCAATGGCAAACAAATCATCCACCTCACAGCCCCTGCCTCTCTCCCATTGTCCAAAGTCAAAGAGGTGACCATGTCCAAGGTGATGCAGGGCGAGCCGATCCTCAGCCACGACGGCATGAACTACGGTATCCCCACCGAATCTTTCTCAGAGGCCGGCCTCCCCAACAAGTCGCTTCTCGTTTTTGACGAGAAGTCACAAACATACCGCACCGCAGCCGCTAGCATCCCCAGTTTCCACGTCCAGGAATTGATCGATCTCCCAAGCTCGGAAAAAACAGACGCCGCAGTGGCAGCACTGCGCGAGGTAGTCAAGCCCGCCAGGCCTCAACCAAAGCACCTGAAGATGCGATTCCGACCTGTCGGAACTGCCGCTGCTGGCCCAGAGACCTTCGGCTCCAGCTCGGAATCCGAAGCTGAAGTGCCTTCGTTCAAGGTGCCCAAGGGAGAGGAGCGCAAGCGGAAGCATGATCACACTGAGGCTGATGCTGATGCTCCTCAAGCGGCGGCTGTGCCTCGCAAGAAGTCAAAGAAGCGCTCGCAAGAGAATGGCGATGAAGAGACAAGGCCTAAGAAGTCTAAAAAGTCCTCCAAGGACAAGGAGGAGAAGAAGCGGAAAAAGTCCGAGAAGGCATGATTTGGCGTTGGGTTTTATTTCTAGCTTTGTTTTTACGACATTTTACAGATACTATGTACAATTTACAGTCTCATTTTCTTTGGCATTCCCAAAGTCGTTGTGAGTTTCACTAAGAGGGCATTTCTATTTTGATCTTCCAAGAATCTTGCAAATAGCGATTGCAGCTCTAAGCTGATGCCGAGAAGTAGATCCCCAGCATGGGTACCACGCAGTTCACCTTTCAATGTTCCACAGACCGATGCTTGAGGTTTGCATGGAAGTTCTCATGTACACTGACGATCTGAACTTTCTTGCCATCCGCATTCAGCACGCCTCCTTTCTCACTATCATCAGTTGAGCTACGCTCCGCAATTTCCCACTCAGTACCAGCAGCAATTTCGAGATTCTTGCCGCGAGTTTCTTTGACAAAAACCCAGCAGAAGCCAGCAGCTACGATGTCAAAGCCCATGAAGATGAGAAAAGTGTTGGCGCCAACGTTTTTGATCATGTAGGGACTCGCGAACGAGAAGCAGAAAGATGATGCCCAGTGAGCAAGCATGCTGACTGCCAACCCTAGAGCTCGAATCCGCGTTGGGAATATCTCCGGTACATAGGCCCAAGGCAATGGACCCCAAGAGCAGTTGTAGATCTATTGGAAGATTAGTAAATATCCTGTGTGTCTAGGTGGAAAAGGAATTGACTGACCATAATGTCAAGATAGATCATAGCAACCGTCGCCCTTCCAGCAGAGGTAACATTAGTCGCAGTTTGAGTTGGGATGTAATCGACAATGAGCGCAGTGATGAGCATGCAGATGGCCATAAGTGCAGCACCACCGGCGAGCGTCATACGGCGACTAAATCTCTCAGCCAGTACCCAGATGAAAAATGTACTAGCAATGACCTTGACGGCACCAAACAGACCAGTCAACAGCATGTTACGGTTCGTTCCACTGCCCGCAATCAGCTTGAAATACTGTGGTGCGAAAACCGCCAGTGCACTGCTGCCCGTGGCATTTTGAAAAATGAACAGCAGAGGCCCAACAATGAAGCGCAGTCGATTGGCTGGCTCGAGAAGCTCACGGTATGAGAAGCCCTTGCGCTCTGCCTGCTCAGCCTGGAGTCCCAGCTGGGTTTCTGTGAACTCTTCGCGGGTCTTGATGTCTTCGCCGCCGCGAATCCAAGTAATGGACTTCCAGGCCTCGTCGGTGCGGTTTTGTGTCAGTAGCCAACGGATCGATTCTGGTAAGGTGAAGGAGCCGATGAATAGGATTCCTCCTGAGATCAGCTGCAGTCCAACGGGGATCTGCCACTCCCGAGAAGTGCCCGCGATGGAGTTGCTCTTGGCTACACCCTGCTTGGTGATTAGTGTCGTGGATCCTTTTTAGGGCTAATGGTAGAGCTAAGACCCACATAGTCAATCCAGTATGCTGTGAACACACCCCATGCATAGAGCCATTGGTAGAAAGAACCACATCGACCACGGATCTCCTTTGGTGTCATCTCTGCTGAGTACATGGGGATGACAACACTCTGACCACCCATGCCCAGACCAGCAATGATACGGCCGATATACCAAGCTGCGAGGGAGTGGGTTTTGATGACTTGGATTATGACGCCTATGATGAAGAGAGCCGTTGAGCCGAGGATGGTGAGCTTGCGTCCATATCTGTTGGTCAGTGGGTAGATCACTGCAGCTCCAATGAAAGATCCCAGTTGCTCCAACCCAACTGTGAGCGAGGACACCTTGGACTGGGATTCAGTCTTGTAGCCCAAATCTGCTTGGAAGGATTTGTAGGTTAGGATACCACCTGCAACACCCGAGTCGTAGGCAGATAGGAAAGAAGAGATGCTGTAGAAAGTATATCAGTTGCTGTCATGATATCACTGTCCATGAGCTGACATACAAAACAATGGCTGCCAAATGATAGGCACGGAAGGTGCCAAGATGGGTGTTCAACTCTGGAATCGTAAAAAGCCCCATGGCTAATATATGTCAAAGCCAGAGAAAGAGAGAATGAAAGAAAGAAGCCAGGAAAATAAGAAAAGATCAAGCACAGGGATATTTTTATCCAAGGGGCCTACTCTTTAGATTGGGCTCTGTTTGAGTTCCAGCAAAAGGCCAAGGCGACATGGCTGTTGCTTCGCATATAAATGCAAAGCTTCTACATGGATATCTCTATCTCATTGTTGGCAGATACAAGGATGTTCTTGCGTGCTGGTGTATACTTCCGCCAGCCGATAGCCGATGTATGCTTGCTCGCCTCTAGAGCACGCCTTCGTGCTCAGTGATGGTGCTATCCTCATAGTGACTGTAACCACATATTCCATGGGATCCTCACAGCATATCAGCTCGGCTGAAAGGATTTGACAACGCGCGTCCGTCCGCAAGTGCCTTAGGGGTGGTTGTTGATGCAACGTGAAGGGCTAGATCCAGTACTTTGTAAGGGGCTTCGTCGGCTGATTTGGGTCCAGACTTAAGCCTTGAGAGAGGTCGTAAATATTACGCGAGCTAAAACGCACTCCGGGGCTGCTCATATACATAGGCTTAGGAGTTGAATGTGGTGATTTATATAGAACCTGCTCCATCTATGATCAACATATCTCCGACGTTAAGGCGATCCCCAGATGCTTAGCACTCTATGTTGAACCACTCCTCTATTATTTCTTGCTAAGACAAAGAGATATATGAACAAGATAGATCTTTGAACCAACCCAGATCTAAGAATAAGTGAAACCAAACCAAAGCAAGAAGATGCTAAGAGAACATATATGTGGATCGCCCCGGGTCCTGGATGACCTCAGGCTGGGGTACCTTGGTGACATAAGCATCACCTGATTGCATCACATGCGATAGACTCCTCCGATAGCAAATGATCTCCTTCGTGCTTTGTATCTGTATTGTCTCTGACCTCTGAAGAAAGCGTTCTGTATTCTTTGCTTCATTTATAGACATAGTGCTTGGTTGAAGTGTGCATGATTTGACAGCTTCAAGCCCGATATCATCTCCGGCGCCCAAGCTCCAAGTGCTTATCGGGGGTCCTCCGTACGTTCCACCTTATACATTCCACGTTTATCGGCTGACCGCATTAACATGACAAGAGTCATTTGCAGGTCTAGCTTGACGTGTGCTAGCTTCTGACTGGTGAAGTGTCTATTGCCCTATCAGCACCGGCCAGTCACCTGGCTCGAACCTCTGACTGCCCGACCGGTGATTCACCACAGTTTAGCATCCATCGTCCTTGACCTGTATCCGACTATATCAGTATATCAATAAAGATGAGACCATTAAGAGACGATACCAGACGCCGGGCAGACCGGCAGATGAGCGCCAGTATGAAACCGACTTCGTCGAGCCGTCGTCCATTTTCAGACCGCATACCAGAGAGATTCAAGGATGGAGATGATGCACAGTTTGATTTCACAGCTCCGCCGCGGGGGATGGGAACACGGGATGGAAATGTGCACTATATGCAACAGTCGCTTTTCTCCATGATTGCCGCTGTTGGATCTAAGTCGGACTTTCATACTCGGTTTGATGAATCAAGCGATAGTGATGCGGATGGGGATGTGGATGAGAAGTTGAGGAGGAGGATTTCTAAAGAGAAAGTGTCATCGAGAGCGCCGACGACATCATCGGCGGTACCAACATCATCTCGCGCGCCGGCGACATCACCTGCACCACCGTCAGCCCCTCACCCACCGATTGAACCCTCTGAATCAATACCATTCGGAACAGAAGAAAGAGGTCGTCGTCATCGGAGAGCATTGACTGACAATAAATTTCCACAACGGCCACCACGGTTGGACTCGAAAGACGACGACGAGTCGTCCCCGAGCTCGATACTTATGGCTCCTCCCCCGAGACGAACTCGCAGTGCCACGCCGAGAGCAGCCCCCGTTTTGAGTCGCATGGTAGAAGCACAAACCCACTTTGATTCCTCAACCGGACCGCACTCACCATCCAACTCTTCCAACCTTGGCGAAACTATGGAAGAGTCGCACTCGTCTGCGTCAGCTCTTTCTACACGGCTGATGGAGATGTTTGGGTTTGCGCAACCTGAAAAGGTTTTAGTCGAATATGCTTGCTCACTCCTTCAGAGCATGCTTCTACAAGGCTACATGTATGTGACTGAAGGTCATATCTGTTTCTATGCCTATCTTCCAAAGAGATCGAATGTGGCGATCAAGTCAGGGTATCTGGCCAAGCGCGGTCGCAAGAACCCCAAGTATAATCGCTATTGGTTTGCTCTGAAGGGCGATGTTCTTTCATACTACCCAGATCCTTCGAATCTTTACTTCCCCAGCGGACATGTGGATCTTCGATATGGGATCGAAGCGTCTCTTGCAGAACGCAAAGATGGCGACAAAGACAGCGATGTCAAAGACTTTCAAGTCACCACAGACCAGGGAACATATCTGTTCAGGGCAGATAGTTCCACCAGTGCGAAGGAATGGGTGAAAGCTATCCAGAAAGTCATCTTTCGGACGCACAATGAAGGAGACAGTGTCAAAGTCTCCTTCCCGATTGAGAATATCATTGATCTGGAGGAGAGTCCAATGGCGGACTTTGCCGACACATTCAAGATTCGAGTTGTGGATAGCGGCGAAACATATGCAATTGATGAGGTATGTCGTGGGTCAATTAATGGAATAAGTTCGTTTTTGCTGATCCGATCTAGTACTTCTTTTCGTTCTTCGACTCGGGCCAGGACGCATTCAACTACATCAAGAGTCTGGTGAATGCGACGAGTATGAATGCAGCCAAAGATCAAGAGTCAAATCAAATGAGCCAGAGAAGGCAGACCGGCAGTCGAGTCGCAAGTCAAAGACGAGATACTTCACCCTTGAAGAGAGGCTCAAGTGATGGACATGAAAACCAATCAGCGGATTCATTTGCCGAACAAGGGACAGCATCTTCTCCCATTGTACAATCTATGACAGACACGGCCGAATCTGCCAGTCAAATACTGAACCGAAGTGATGTTTTCCACTCACCTACTATGCGCGCAATGCGAAGACGCTCGTCAGATGTTGGAGAGACTATCCGACGCTCCGACGAGACAACTCGCTCTGCTTCTGCGCAACTGGACTTGGACCGAGCCGGTCGGGCTATTGACAAGAGCGATGCTCTTGATCAGTCCGATGTAATGCAGGCATCTAGCCTCGGCTCCGTTGCTCATCTTAACGACCTCGTCAAGGCAGGCGCTTATCCTTTCCAACGCGCAGCTGGATTTGCAGACTACGTGAAAAACCGCTCGAGACAGATGAGCACTTTGTTGGCAACAGAGTCAATGGGTTACATTGAGAAGGTTTCTGGTATGTGGACTGGTAGCCAGAAACATTACGGTGAGCGGGAAGGGCCATTACAAGGCCAAAGCGTCGATGCAGAGGACGAAGGCGAAGGTGGACTCAATCATGGGGATCGGTTCCGTGCCCACTTTGCTCTTCCGCCAACTGAAAGATTGCAGGCGACATACTACGCCTACTTACATCGTGTGCTCCCGCTTTACGGCAAGATCTACATCAGTCAGAGGAAGCTTTGTTTCCGCAGTCTGATTCCCGGGACCCGCACTAAGATGATTTTACCATTCAAAGACATTGAGAATGTTGAAAAGGAAAAAGGCTTCCGTTTCGGATATCAAGGACTTGTCGTCATCATCCGGGGGCATGAAGAGCTTTTCTTTGAGTTCAACGCTTCAGAAGCACGAGATGACTGCGCAGTCACATTACATCAAAACCTCGAGTCTGTGAAATACCTGGTGGAATCTGGCTTGCTTGCAGAAGAGGAACAAGACGAAGTTGAGGCGGCCAAGGCTGAACACCGCATGCTCCAGGAAGCCAGACTGGACAGCCCCGAGGAGCATGACACACGTCCTACGCTAAATGAAGACTCATCTGAGATACACCCTTTCTTTGATGACCCTCGCGCCTCTATCATCAATTTCAAACCCACCGAACCCCTCCGAATCACTTGCCTGACCATTGGCTCTCGAGGTGATGTGCAGCCGTACATTGCACTTTGCAAGGGACTTCTCGCAGAGGGGCACATGCCAAAGATTGCAACACACGCCGAATTTGAACCATGGATCCGAAGACATGGGATCGACTTCGCACCTGTTGACGGTGATCCTGCCGAGCTGATGCGCATTTGCGTCGAGAACGGAATGTTCACATACTCCTTCCTTAGAGAGGCTTCACTTAAGTTTAGAGGGTGGATCGATGATCTTTTGTCATCAGCATGGAGAAGCTGCCAAGGCTGTGATCTCTTGATTGAATCGCCAAGCGCCATGGCCGGAGTTCACATTGCAGAGGCTCTTCGAATCCCCTATTTCCGGGGCTTCACCATGCCGTGGACGAGGACCAGGGCATACCCGCATGCATTTGCGGTGCCAGAAAACCGAATGGGCGGAGCATACAACTACATTACATACGTCATGTTCGACACCATCTTCTGGAAAGCTATCGCAGGCCAAGTCAACCGCTGGCGAAACAGAGAGTTAGGACTGAAGGCTACCACTCTAGACAAGATGCAGCAGAACAAAGTCCCATTCCTTTACAACTACTCGCCTTCCGTGGTGGTCCCTCCTCTCGATTACCCGGATTGGATTCGCATTACAGGATACTGGTTCCTGAATGAAGGCTCAGACTGGACCCCACCAGCTGACCTGTTGAGCTTCATCCAACGAGCCAGAGCAGACGGCAAAAAGATCGTGTACATCGGCTTCGGATCCATAGTCGTCTCAGACCCGTCTGCCTTGACACGGACCGTCGTCGAATCAGTCCAAAAGGCCGATGTCCGCTGCATCCTCTCAAAGGGTTGGTCAGATAGACTAGGCGATCCAGCCAGTGCAAAGCCCGAAATCCCTCTCCCACCGGAAATCTTTCAAATTCAAGCTGCGCCCCACGATTGGCTCTTCTCTCAAATCGATGCCGCAGCTCACCACGGCGGAGCAGGAACTACTGGCGCAAGTCTCCGAGCCGGCGTGCCCACCATCGTCAAGCCATTCTTCGGAGACCAGTTCTTCTTCGGTGGCCGAGTGGAGGATCTAGGCGTTGGTGTCTGCATGAAGAAACTGAACGTTAGCGTCTTCTCACGGGCACTCTGGGAGGCTACGCACAGCGAACGCATGATTGTGAAGGCGCGCAATCTTGGCGTTCAAATCCGAAGTGTAAGTTACTCCACTATTCCAGCTAAGTGTGAGGTTCCTGATACTAATTTCGCTATAGGAAGATGGCGTGGCAACTGCCATCCAGGCCCTCTACCGCGACCTTGAATACGCAAAGACATTGGCTCGACAGAAGTCTCTTGTCTCATCTACCCCCTTCTCTCCTACCCCCACTGCAAAGGCCTCACCTGATGGAGGCGATGATGATATTGATGATATCGAGGAGTGGACTTTTGTTGGTGATGAGACTGGCATTGATATCTCGAAGCGGGTGCGCGAGCGAGCTGCTTCGGATGCTAATAACCTTGCTTCAACCCTAACATGATATAATATTGTGTTGCAACCTTGGAAGTTGAAGTCGGATAGTTGGTCAGCATCTCTTGTGTTGGGCGATGTGATTGGTGTTTCTATTTCTATTTCTATTTCTTCTTCGGTCCATCGATTCTGTTGCGTTTGTATTTTCTTTACTGGCCTGTTCACGAATCATGACTTGCATTTCTGTTTCATTCTGTGCATGAGGCGTTCTTCTTTTCTTTATATCACCAGGTACCAGGCTTGATCACAGTTCCCATTACGAGTCTTTAATATCCACGACATTTGATGTTTCATGATTGATGCGTTCCTCCGAGTTGACATTGAATCCCACATGGAAAGACTGGACTGAGTTGGGGCGCATGGACAATACCAAAGAACAGGATAGACCTTCCAGCTAACATTGGCAATAATTCTATAAGATTGATATGTTCCTGATACTCATATTCATATTTTCATACCAAATCCGATCATCCCCTAGCCACCAGGGCGCTTAATCTTTTATTATTTCTTTTCATCGTCTCCTTTCCCTTCAGCCTTGTCTTTGCGTCTTTGCACAACATCCCAGTTGTACACTCGCGCCGTGGCAACCTCCAATGTCTGTAGGGTGAAATTGTCAGTAACAAGACCAGATACGCATCTGCATAGCTTTATCTATACGCGAGAAGGGGAAATACGAACCGTAATCTGCTCGCGCAAGAATTCCAGATCCTCCTCGCAGTTCTTCAAGCTAGACTGCGCAGCCGTAAGCTTGTCATCCAGCATAGTCTCCGCCTCGCCGAGCGGGTACGCAAGCATGACATTCGCTCCAAGCCAGAGGTAAACTTCCTCCGCATCAGCGGGGGAGATGGAAGCGCGAGCGTAGAGCGTATCATTGAGTTCGAAGTTTGTCTGGAGGTCGGCGTCGGGGTTTGACTAGAAATAGTAGACGAACATCAGCATTCCATTCCGAGTCTTCTTTTTATTTTCGCCATATGATTTTTTTTTTCTTCGTCTTTAATCTCCGACACTCCTCCGTGGTAGGTGGTGCAGGGCAATTACCTCCTTGCGCAACTTCAAAAACCGAACCATCTCAAGCGTCTTCTTGATATCGGGGATCTTCTCGCGCAGTCCCTGGCCACGGCGTTGGGTGTTGACCTCCATGAACTGGTACTTGGAGATCATCTCCTGGAACGAGCGGAGGGTAGGCTCGACCTCCTCGCGGGAGGAGACGTAGTCGCTGACATTGTCGATGAAGGGGGCGACGGGGATACCGCGCGGGTTGGTTTGTGTAGTTGCGGTGCTGGTGGAGGGGTTAGTTTGGGGACTGAGATGAGATGAGATAAAAGTATGGGGGAGAATGGGGAGAGGCGTTCAAGGAGAGCAAAGGATAAGATAGACAGGGGATTCGCAAATTTAATTGACCGTACCTCTTTTTTGAGTCCGCCATGGCTGCAAAGATGTTAAGAAGAGAAGATGACGATGTGGGGAGGGAGCTTAACTGCCACTTTCGTTCCGCCTGCTATCTCCGCAACCTTCCTTCCTCCCTACAATCTACAGTCCACAGTCTACATTGACTGGACTGAACTGAATACCCAAAATGGTCCTCCTCGTCACAACAGACCGCATCCTCGCCGCGCTAGACACAGTCCCAGCTTCGCGCCGCGAACAGCTAAACCTGCCAGCCACGCTGGAAACCAATGGCCCGATAGCCCACGAGCAACTAATCCGATTATCGAGATATCTCCAAACGGACCCGGAGTCCGAATACAAAGACGCAACAGCGTCCAGCCCATCAATTCTCAATTCCCTCCTGCGCGGCACGAAGGTCTATGTACCGCCGCCGCCGCCGAAGCCTGAGCCGGTATGTGCATGTGGTAACGCGACAGCTACACATCAACATCTATATCTGCACTTAATCAAGTCAAATACAAATACAAATATAAATATAAACAAAACTAACACCCCATACCAAATAGACACCCGAATACCTAGCCACAAAAGCAGCCCTCCAAGCCCACGTCGACCAAATAGCCTACAACCGCCTCTTAAACCCGACAGCAAACCAAACACCCGACCACCACGATCCCTACAACACGGCCTCCTCCTCTGGAATCAATGGCGCGGCCGGCGATCAAGACATGCTCACGCCATCACTGGTGATAAACATCTTCCTGTCGGTGGTTATAACCGGTTTCAGCGTGTACTGGGCTCTGACGAAGTTTTCTACGCCGGATATTTTGTATTCTGGGTTTGCGTCTTGGACGGCTGGTAAGAGCAATAATGGTAAGAGTGGTGGTGGGGACAGACAGGGGATTTCCGAGGCTGTGCGTGTTTTGCTTGCTTTCTTTGCTGCTTTGGCGGTTGCGGTTGCTGAGGCATTTTTGTACGCTGCGTACGCTGGGAAGGTGGAGCGGGCGAGGGTTAAGGAGAGGGGCTTGAGGGAGAGGAAGGTCTTTGTTGGGAGGGTTGGGGAGGATGGTGGTGAGGGTGAAGGTGAGGGTGAGGGTAAAGGGAGAAAGAAAGAAGGAGGAGAAGGGGTTAGTGTTGATGTTGATGGTGAGAAAGAGGAGATTTGGGGGAAGGGCGTTAATGGTGGTGTTAGGAGGAGGGTTAGGGAGAAGTGGGAGAAGGAGAGGGATGGGGTGGCAGAGTGATTGAGGCCTAACCAGCTACCCAGTGTGTCAAGTCACAGGTTGTATAATAACTTATATCCAGAATACATGTATACATAAACTTCGGTAGAAACGACTAGGTTGAATGCTCTTGGTATTCTATGCCTAAAGCTGTAACAGTCATTAATTTAATACGGATGCTATGTGGTCGTTAGTTCTCGTTAGGGCTCGTCCAGAGGAGGTCGAGATGCAAGATGAGAAAAAGAAAAGAGAAAGAAAGAAAGACATGAAGAGGAGGGATATCTCAAACCCGTTTCTCAAGGAGCAGCTTGCCGTGAGGAGTTTCACAGTCAAAGCCCTGCTCACGGCTAAAGACCCGCTCACCACGCAACCAAGTCTCGCGAACCATACCGCGCAGCGTACGGCCCTGGTAGGGCGAGCACTTGTTACGGAAGAGCATGGTAGAAGGCTCGACAGTCCACTCGGCAGAGTCGTCAAAGACACAGATATCAGCGTCGAAGCCGACGACCAGGTCACCCTTCTGCGATTGCAAACCGACCTGGGCAGCGGTATTGGCGCAGCAGAGACGGACGACGTCTTGCAGGGCGTTCTTTGTGTTTTCATCTTCGGGGGAGGAGGTCAGGCCCTTGCGGCGGCTGAGGTCTGTCCAGAGGATCGGCAGGCCCAGGCCGACGGAGGAGATGCCACCCCAGGCTGAGAAGAAGTCGCCCTTGTCCTCGTCCTTCTTGGTGGTGCTGGTGCAGTGGCCGGGGACGTGGGGTGGGAGTTGCTTCAGGTCTGGTGTGCAGGGGGAGTGGTCTGAGACGACGGTCTTGATGACGCCGTCGCCGGAGTGCTTCTCTAGTTCTTCCCAGAGACCGTCTTGGTTGAGCTTGGAGCGGATGGGTGGGCAGCACTTGTGGCGGGTGTCGCCGTCGCGCACTTCCTCGGCTGCTAGGGAGAGGTAGTGGAAACAGGTCTCGGCAGTGATCTTGACGCCGGCGGCGCGGGCTTCCCGCAGTAGAGGGATGGCTTCCATGGCTGAGAGGTGGACGATGTGCAGGGGAAGATTGGGGGCGAGGTGAGCCAGCGCCAGAATGCTTTCGATGGCATAGGTCTCAAAAGATGAGGGTCTCGAGGCGAGGAAAGTAGCATACGCCTCGAGAGGGCCAGCTGGTGCGGCCGGGGCATCAGACTTTTGGACTTCATCACCCACGGACGCAGTGATAGGGGGCACCATCTCAGCGTGGAACATGAGGGTTGTAGGCTCATCAGCCAGCTCGGCCATGGCCTTTTTAATATCTTCCGTGCTGACAGCAGGGAACTCATCGACCTGTCTATTGTTAGCAAACAAAACCCCACAGGGACTTGGTATTAGAACTTACACCACTGTCAATTAGGAAGCCCTTGAAGCCACGGACACCCTCCTGAACAAGAGCCTTGAGCTCATTGGCATTGCCGGGGATAATACCACCATAGAAGCCAACATCCACCCAGCATTTACCCTGGGCGGCCTGAATCTTCTCCTTCAGACCGTGCACAGTAGTGGTGGGCGGGATAGCATTGAGAGGCATATCAATCACGGTAGTGACACCGCCAAAGGCAGCAGCCTGGGTGCCGGTGTAGAAGCCCTCCCATTCGGTACGGCCCGGCTCGTTCAAGTGAACATGAGCATCAACCAGACCGGGCAGCAACACATGCGGTGAGTAGTCGGTGTAGGGAGTATCAGCGGGGAATTCCGAAGCCGGAATCATGGAATCGAAGACGGCGGTGATCTTGCCGGTTGTCCGTGAGATCACGATAGTGGCAGCAGTCAGACGGCCGGAGATGACGGCGCGCGACGAAGCCACAACGGCAATCGAGGGCATGTTAGCGGACGCCATAGCGAACAATTGCTTTTTTGCTTGCAGTATACTCTAGCCGTGGCGGTCACAGAATAGGAATAAAGGGACGTCTGGGGTATATAAGAAAGCTGGAGAAGATAAGCCGACGAGATAGTATTGGAGCAAGCCAGGACAGAGATAAGGGGTCTGGTGCATATAAATAACCCAACCGCCTCGAAAAGTCGGTATGGCCCACCTCTTTTCTCTCCACCCTTCAGTTACCATTACTCGATCGATTGAACCACCCGAAAGTCGGGTGGTCACGGCCGGACAGAATGGGCTCGAACGCGACTCATGACCACGAATACCCTCAACCTTGCCGGATCAGGATGCGCACAGGGCTCCTCAATGGATAAGAGTCGCTCGATTCCGTCCCATGCATATGTACCTGTATATGCCTCTATGTATCCTTTGACAGGCCAGGGGCACTGAATTTGCACGTTGCACCCATGGGACAGCGCCACCACAACCGACGTGGTTGGGCGAGCGGCGGATGGAGAGGAAATTTTCCATCGGGCACCTCCGATGCAATGCGGGCAGTTCCTGCGCTTATCAATGGCCGTCGGATCCGCGTTATCAGCCCTTTACTCGATCAAAACTGTCGGCTTTTGCTTCATTACTCGATGGAAACCACCTCTGTCGGCTGAGAGGTTTCATCTCCGACAAGCGTAGACGCCACTCATCTAAGGTGGACTCTGGAGTTCCCATCGAGTAAACTGGTCGCCATATCTGGAGTTTCATTTTCCGGATGATGAATGAAGAGGTTGAAGAGGTTGAAGAGGAGAACAAGGAATCTTGCGGGGTTGGCATGTTAGGGAATCAGGGAATCTTCAGGGATGAGGTGAGTCTGTGACTGGTCCAACTGCTTAATTTGACCTTCCGGTTTGGCCATTCCTATGTTCTTGCGTTTACTCCGGTTTCATCTCTACTACAACCTCTACTACAGCTCTACAATAGACAGATATTTTGAAAAATAAGGGTTTGAATTCATTAGTCCCCTTTCCCCTTTTTCTGGGGTTTCTCTTATTTCCGCCTTGGTTTCGGCTCAGTCTCGTATGAGAACTGAGCCGAAACCAAAGGCCACCCCGTTAACGAGGCATGCACCCCGTAATGGCCTGCATGAGTAGCCATAACCCCTCTGATGGCCACATGAATGAAATGTGCAGCGTAAAGTAGAGAACTAGGCCATCAGAGGGGTTACTGTGACAGCCTCACAGCGCAGCATCAACCTTCCCCACCGCGACGACCTCGCCGTCGTCGTCACCCGCACTCTTCTCAGGCGGCGACACCACCTTCCTCGTCCGCGCTGTGCGCACCATCGCCGGCCGCCTCCAACGCCTCCAACGCCTCCAGGAACCCATAGACCCGGCCCATTGTTGCGTTGATGTGGTTTTCGGGTGTGACCACATACGCATCATTGGGCGCATGGCCGAACAGCGACAGCTCCCACTGGTATTTGCGCTCTAATTTATCCTGAGGACCGCACCAACTCAGGCGGAGCAGATTGCACAGCACGTATGAGCCGGCCCAGTCATGGTCAGCTGGTGGTCCATTGCGATCTGCTCGTTCGAGCATGTAAGCTTCGCCTTCGACGAGGCAGGGGACCTCCTTCATGGCTGGGTTGGCGTGCATCAGCTCCATCCACATCAGGACTTTCTTCAGACTACGCGGCAGCATGGCGTTTATGTGCATGGTCTCACCGGCTGCATAGCAGTTGCAGCCCCGGGCCCCGATGCCGATTTCATGCGAGCCCAGGGGGAGGTCAGATCGGACCCAGGCGCGGCAACGGTCTCGCATGAACGACGCGAATGAGTTTGGGAAGCGCAGGTCCGGAATGGTGGCAGGGTCGAAGATTTGACGGGGATCGACGAGGGTCATGTTCGAGGTGAACGTACGCCAGAACGCCCCTATTGAGAGGATGGGTTAGTATGTGAAGCCCTAAGGTCCGTTTCGAAGAATGCACTCACAGTTGTCTTTCAGGAACTGGTACATGGCAAAGCCGCCCTCGGCGATGCCCAAGACATCGATCGTGGTGTTTCCGCGCATCAAAGGCATGAGGATGTGCTCAAAGACATACTCCGTGTGCTCGTACGGAGTGCGGTTTCCGGGAATTTCATTGCGACGAGTGGGGTCACGAACAGGAGTGATCAGAGAGGGTGCGTCACGCAGCCGGAAAGTCTCGAGGGACTCAGCAAGCTCTGTCTGGGGATTCCAGAAGCGTTGAGCAGGGTTCAGGACGACAAGAGCCATGTCTCCGAGAAGGCTGCGCTTGGTCAGACACATTACCAGGCCTAGGATGGTGCCGAAGAAAAGACCTTCCTCGAGAGTGTCGAGGTATGAGAAGATCCCCATATCTTCGGTTTCGTCACCGCACACGACGATAATGCGCTTGGCAATTTCCAGATTCTTGGTCACAAGGACTTTCATGCGTGGTCCGCCCTCGACGTCGGCGTCCACAGGAATGGTCATGGTCTCTATGCCCATGGTAGCCAGATTGAACAGAACCAGACGGCGAACGGCCTCTGTGGTTTTGGTTTTGTCAGTTGCTGTTTACCTCGAATGGTGTATCTCAACATGGATACGGATGAGGGTACTCACGTTGAAGAGCATGTGCTTCCAGCTTTGCGATGCGCTCATCCTTGGTCTTGTCAAACATGAAGCCTTCCTCAGGGTTGCTGATCTTGCGAATGCGGCTATTCTGATCGACGAAGTAGCTGCGTGGTTGATCTTGTGTTAGCATGGGGAATCTGAGGTTTCATCAGAGCAGGACGGGGTCTCACCCGAGGCTCTCCAGGGTGTTGCCAAAGACAGGGCGAGGAGGCAGACTGGATTCAGGGATGTTGGTAGACATCGTTGCTGGTGGTATCAATCGAGGATTGATCCGATGAGGATATGGAGTGTTGAAGTCAAGACTGAAGTGGTCTTGATTACGAAAGAAAGCGAAAGGAAAGATGGGAGGATGGCAGGAAAAGAAGAAGGAAAAGTGAGAGGTGAAAGATGAGGGCAGTGATACGGGCAAGGTAACGAGACGACGAGACGACGACGACGATACGATCCTCAGTTGAGACTGAGCTTCCCAACCGGGAAGGAGAAGCACGATGCAATACCGAGAAGAAGAGCCTCCGAAGAGAGAATTCTCTTGTGAGCGATGCTTTAGAAGCTTTGAGACACGAAGTATGAAATCAGAATGAGTCCCGGCTTGCTTTTGCTACCTTGAGATACCACAAGGGGCTGCAGGAGAAAAGCAAGCGACGCAATACGCAGGAATACGAAGAGAATCGTCAAAGAAAGCCTCACTCATTACGAGCAAACAATACCAGCAAGACGACAGAAAACGGCCATTGCCTCAACGGCAAGAGCAACGCAAGACGAGGGACATGACCAAGTATTCAATCGAAAATGTGAATAGCATCATAAACGGGATCATATTTGCATACTGTACAAGCTTCAACCCAAATGGAAGCGAGAGATAAACGCCGCGCAACCCACTCGACCGGAGATCTCCATGCCCCAGAGAAACCGGCGACAACACACTCTAATGATTTACCAAGACGCCTTCTTGACACCAGGGAGTTCACCAGCAAGAGCCTGCATACGGAATTGGTACTATAGATCGGAAGATCAACATGTCAGCAATGAAATCATCAAACCCCCGAGGCAATCGCAATCGCAATGCAATGGCCAGCTATTCATTCCACTCACTCTGTTAATTCTGAAATCGCGGAAAACACTGCGAGCAGTACCAGACTCGACACAGCGGTTCTTAATCTGCGTAGGACGAGTGTAGGCGTGCATCTGAGACAATTGAAGCTGAGCCTGAGCGCGGACTCGGCCAGGGAGGGAAGTATTGCGGATCATGTAGCGGAGAGCTTGGCTATTGCGCGCAACGAAAAGAAAAAGTCAGCAAATGAATCTCAATTCAACGTCAAACTTTACAGCAATGCGTATACATCGCCGGTCTAGCTGGTCTGCCTGCGGGCAACGACGGGGTTCATTTCATACCGTTCGGGCTCGGTCTGTTCAAAGGCCATGCGCTTGTTGTGGTCGCGGATCAGGCGGGTATTCGTGAAGCCAGAGAGGTCGAGCTTCTTGGGCCGGAAGAGCCCTGCCATCTTGGTCATTTTGGCGGTTGTTTTTTGGTTGGATGTGTCGAGATTGAGATTGAAAGTCGGGAAGTGGTTGGCTTTCGGCGAGGCGGAGTTGGAGCGAAAACTGGATGCCCGATTTGGTTTAGCGCCGTTGATGCAGGATTTCACTGGTGGTGCCTTTCAAGCACTACGCTTCTTATACTTTGGTTGATTGTTTTGTTATCGTTGGAATTTATATGCTGTTGGCGTATGGAGGGTGATGTAGGGCTTTTTCTACGGTCGCATAGAGCTGTAGGCTTTGTAGATTAGCCCTACGTTTGACAATACTGCGCTGCGTGTATGTGAAGTATAGAAGCTCTACGATATCGGTAGCGCTACGTTGCCCATGACCGGAATACTCGGGTCATAATAGCCCGCCTATTTCAATACGTAGATCATCATGCCAGCAGAAGAACAGTACGAAAGAAGCGGCAATCCTTGCCGGAATGGTACTGGTACAGCTTGTGAATTGATCCAAGTCACCCCCATCGAGGGTATGATCTATATGCTTGGAAAGGGGCAAACTGCCCGCAGAGGAATCACAGTAAATGCAAGCCGGTCCTTGATGACCTAGACCATCTCCGCCCGCACACACATCGCGACGGTTTCCGCCCGCTCCTCTTTCACACAAGGAAGCGGGATCTCAAAGCCCATTCATTGTCGACCGAATTTAGTGGTCAGCCTTGCCAGCGGGCTTAGCGTTGGGGTTGCGGGGGTCGTTCTTGAACTCGGCGGCTGTGCGGATTTGACGGTTAGTTAGATGTGCCCGGGACGACCATCGGAGTTGGATTCGCGGATGTTGTCGTATGTGCGAAACTCTGCGATGACTTTATGTATAGTTGCGCGGGTGGGACTCACTGTTGGACAGAGTGTTCTGGAGAGAGTTGACGCCGTAGAGAACAATGAGGCCTAGACGGGAGATTCATTAGATTGAAGTTCGATTAAGCGTCCCGGATGTGTAAAATAGCGAATTGGCAATCAATTCGGGTCCGGAATATCAGGGCAATATGGGATATAGTATTTAGGCGTACCGGCAGCGAAGAAGGGAGTCAAAGGCTTGGCTGTAGTTGAACAGATGCGTCAGTCGTTGGTCCATGTATAATCCTCCCACGTTTCGTATCCGGGGTCCAAAAAGCACATACCCAGAGCGCCGGGGAACTTCTTTCCGAGGAGAGACATTGTGGCAGGTAAATCGAATGCGAAATGAATTCGGTGTTCGGGAAGATGGTATGGCAAGAGGACGGAAGAGGAGAAGTGAGGTTTGGAGGTTTGCCCGGTCCCGAGATCACGCCGCCTTAAAGGCGGTGACATGCCGCTTTTACCGCCCGATCTATCCCGACCATTGTAAACAATCAACTTCTGTAACTCAGCAATTCACACACCATGGCTGCTTCACTATCTTCGTGCGTTTCATCGTTACAGTCCTCTCTTCATATCTTGGACAACTCTATTACCACCCTTGATTCGGGCGTGAACGACTTTCCACGACTATGTAAAGTCCTCCAAACAACTCGAGTATGTTCAAAACGCCAACAGAAATAGAAGAATCAAGGAGTCTGACATTGATTACTGGAATAGCATTTCGAACTCCTCCCCGAGCCAACGTTACGCGAAGCACAGCAATCTCTCCTCGACGAAATCACCCCTAGCATAGCCCACCTCCTCACACTATCCACAAACCACGTTGAAAAGCTCGCGCGCCGCGAACAAGGCCTCAAGGCAAAATGCGACCTGCAAGAAGGCCGTCTTTCCTCCAATCCTGAGAGTCGATCATCAGCAACTCGCCAAACCCAAAGCAATGCACTGCGGGGTTGCATGGCGGGGTCTGGGTCGAATAACGCAGCCAAAGCGGCCGAGCTGAGACGCCTCCAGCAGAAGAAAGAGCGGCTCAAGTTTGCGGTTGATCGATTGGAGCTGCAGAGTACACAGAAGCAGAGGCAGTTGAGGAAGAGTATGGCTGCGCAGTGAATGGGAACTACTACGAGATCAGATCACGATTATCTATGAAAATGCTGCATGTTTATGCAGAGACCTAGGGCTCGACTAGGCACGGGTTCACCGCCGATGCTGTCATGAGAAACACCCAAGGCGACTTTGGAAGAGCACCGGCTGTTTTGCCCAGGCATTATGCCCTTTCACCCGAGCATTCGAAGACAAGCCTGTTGCAGACAGGCAATCATTTCGCTGGACGGGGTTAGTACATGCCTCGCCGGCGACAGATTCCAAGGCCTTCCAGGCTACACTTCTACTACGTGGATTCTCAAAAAGCTGTACGAGGATTAGGGCACGACGGGAATGAAGGGCTGGAAGGCTACAGCCCTAAATACTTCAATGTACATTCAAATCAATTTCCAAATTTCAGAGTGAAGATGCTATATTTACATCTGTAGAAAGGCGAGAATGCGACTATAGTGTACAAGATCCATCCCCTCCCAATGCCAAATGCCACCGCCGTGGCGGATATTATACAATAGATCCCCGAGTAAAAAAAGCGCCATCCAAATAATGCACAAAAACAGCCATCTAATCACTTCCAAGACGGGAAAGACCAACTATTCAGCAGACATCTTACTCTCAGCCTGCCTCAGCTTCTTCTTGTCATTATGCTTCTTCCAACTAGGAATGCGCTGCCCCTTGTTCCTCACAGGAGTATCAGGAACCTCCTCCTCGTAATCATAATCATCTTCCTCATCCTCATACTCATTCTCAAAATCCCCGTCCTCATCATCACGCATCTTATTCGCCGCCCGACGAGCCAAGCGCTCCTTCTTTCCCTCGCCGTGTTTCTCGCCTAGCTTCAAGTTCCGCGGGATACGAGTCTTCGCGCCTAGAGCCCACAGATCACCCCAATTCGACTTGCGAGCGTCGCGGTAAGCCTGGCGACTATAAGAGCGGGGGACAGTCCAGCGCTCGATATTGCCAGCTGGTGTGCACAGATCGAAAATGACATGGCCGCGGCGTTTCATGGGTGGGTAGACGGCGCGAGGGAGAGCGAGGGGGTGGAAGGCGAGTTTATCGGGGATGTCGGAGGTCTCATCTTCGAAGCCCTCGAAAGCAGCGTCTGTGGCTGCAGCGCCTTGTTTTATGCCTTGGGTTTGGCGAAGGTCGACGCCGCGCTGGACGGCGATGTAACTGAATTTGAGGTCTTCGTGGTTGCGGTCCTTGGCGCCCATTATGCGTTGCAGGAATGGGGGGCGGATGTACCGTTGCTCGAAGTGGCAGTAGTCTCTGCGGCCTTTGGTTGCGCCTGCGGAATTGTGCATTGGGCAGGTGGAGTGGTTGGTGCAGGGGGCGATGATCATGCCGGGTTCTTTTTGGATTACCGGGCTTTCATCGGGGTCTTCGAGGAAGTTGTCGTATTCTGTTGAACCTGGGCTGGCAATATGGCGCTTCAGGAGCATTTCTCGTGCTCCGGCGATGGCCTCGAAGCCCTTTTGTCGGCCCTTCTCGAGGAGAATGAGGATACCGCCGTTGGGGTTGAGGAGGGCCCATAGGTTTTCAACGTGCTGCTTGCGCTCATATTCTTCTTCCAGGCCAAGGAGAGAATGGGGTGCGATGATGACATCGTACTGCTTGCGCTTGGGAGCTTTACGCGAGTCATCAAATGTGGGCTTCTCGCGAACATGGACGTAGTCGGGCAGACGCGGGAGGAAGGTGGTATTGTCGAGCATGGCGGATGCACGCATCTGTAGGGCTACCGAGCCTGTTAACACGGTCGATCGCCCGTATGGGATCGGCAAACCCTCAGGGTGGTCGGGAACCATGAGCTCGTATTCTGCGCGGATGATATCTCTCCAGGCTAGGATACCGGCACCACCACCGCTGGCATCGAGAACGTTTGGTCCGTCCTCTTGTGAGATCAGACGACGGATCCAGTCGGATCCCATGCGCTTGCGGATCTCAATCATGACGCTGAGAGTCGATGCGTAGATTCCAGGGTACAAGGCTGCCAGGTACGCATTGGCCTCCATTTCTCCCATCTGCCTTTGCGAAGCATGCAGAGGAATGGGGAGCTGCGGTAGTTGAGCACGGGGAGGTGCTGTCGTAGTCGAATGAGGCAACCCCGGTCCTCCAAACAGATTGCGTGCAGTTTCAGCGATATGTTTGTTGGAGAACTCCGACAGAATGATTGAGATGGGACCGGTCAGAGTATTCTTGGGCAGATGGATAGTGCTGGGATCCGTCCCAGATTTGCCCGCGAGGGTGTTCGGGTGCATTCTAGGAGCTGTGTCGGGAACTGCCTCATTCTCAAATTGCTCGAGCATAATCTCGCCACCCAGTTGCTCTGCAACCTCCCTCGTCCGCCTCATGGCAATGGTTTCTTCCTCCTCTGGGGAAACATCCATGTCATAAACGACGGGTACATCATCCTCGGCGGTATGCTTTTCCTTGTATTCAACCTCCTCCCAGTCGCCTTCGCTAGTCTCACGCAGCAGACTGGGATCCTCCTCACCTTCCTCCTCGGCCTCCTCAAGCATTGGCTCTTCCTGGCGGAAGATAGGTTCTCCATAAAGTCGGGCATAGATCTGAAGCTCGGCATCATTCAACAACCCTTCCGGCAATTCCTCTCCAAACCGCTGCTTGACGAGATGCACCCAGGACTCTGGAGTATGTTCATCTCGCTGGGTGATCAACTCAACGAGCTCGTTCACCTCATCTTCCTCCCCCATAAGTTCCAACTCTTCCAGTATCTCCACCATCTGAGCCTCATTTTCACCAATCTTCTCAATCAAAGCGTTGATATCGTCCGCGGCGGTCTGTTGGTCCGTTTTGCTGGATTGAGGCAAGTCCGACGCCGCCGGCGCGGACACAAACCTCCGCTGAGGCTGGCGCCGTGTTGCCGCATACTCCGTGTTCGATCGGCGTGCAAGGCTGCTAGAGCTGACCAAGGGTGAGGCTTGTCGTGTAAAGGCGCGCTGTTGGGTTGGGGTTACCCTGCTGGCAGATCCGCGGAACTGTCGCGACCCAGAAGGGCGCGCAAATGTGCGCAGTAACTCGCGCGATTGTGACATTATAGCTCCTTATGCTGAAAATAATGACAGCATGAGCTATTTGAGATGTCTCAATAGCAGTAGGTTGAGGTGGCAGAAAAAAAATACAAGAGCCCCGGAGACCAGAAAATTGATGCCAAGACATCTATGCGCCTATCACAAACTGCGGGCTTCCGATTGGCTGGCCTGCCATTCCAAGTTGGTCACGTATAGATCAGGTTTCGAATGGCTAGGAACTATCGGGTTATTTCATGGCGAACTGGTCAAGATGTGTATATGAATAAAGGTTATCATAGTCCCATAGTATCTAGCATCTCTATTCATGCTCAAAAATCAATTCATGGACTTGAATTGAAGGCATTTTACATTCCAATGTAGGGGTATCAAACTATGTTTCACTTTCTGTATCTTCATTGCCCATGAGCACTCGCAGTGCACCTACGCACCGCATCACTTCATGCTCAAGGGCCGACAATTTCGCCATGACCGCCATAAGACTAGGATCCTGGCTTTCAACCCGGACCTTCTCCTTAACGCGTACTTCCTCACCCTGCCATTGGAACAAGACACCCGCCTCGTCATGTGTTGGTGCCCGTGATCCGAATATCCGATCTCGCAGGGAGAACCCTGTCAGTGAGATATCCGACGCGAATGCAGTGGGCGCGTGATTGAGAGCGGTGGACTCTAATGTCCGAAGAAGGAGAACAAGAGCGGAATCGGTAATAGAAAGATGGAATGATAAGTGCGGTGGAAGCGGAGGATCAAACATCTAGAATGGAGCATCAACATCAGTAAAGGGGACCCCAGGGATTGTCTCATGGACTGGACATACATTTTCAGTCGCGCTGGCCTCCCACCACTTCCCTCGCGTATCATCCCCCTCCCCCTTCAGCATCTGCCTTGCCTCACTAATAGTCTCAAGCAAGAGATGCAGCTGGCTAAAGATGAAACCCGCATTGAGAGGGTCACCCGTCCACGTGCTCACATCGACGATATCCAAACTCTGCGCCACAAGATCCCGAACCGAGACCAGCTGCGGCAGAACCAGTTCCGGCGCACCAGGTGCCTGGGACAAGTTCAGACGGGTACTGGGGGCACCGCGTGTAGGCGGCAGCGATGCAATACGAAGTTGGATATCCTAGAACAGCTCAGCCATCTTTCCGATCGCCGGTCGGATTCGGCATACGTACCCCTTTCACGATCTTGGTGCCGACTCGAGTCACGAAGCCTTTGACATTTTCCGACCGGAGCGACGATAGCACCAAGGTCGAGCCTGGTTCCTGGGGGGCTAGCAGGACTGCGCATTCTTGCAAACCTTCCTTCAGTGAGGCAAGTGAATCCTGCATGGACTGCAGGAGCCATTCTAGCTCTCGGGCCTAAGATGGATGGGTTGGCATATTATACTGGGAAGAGCTCCACAGTCACCAATGGAGCTATGGAGCTGCTATCCGTAAGGGTATAGTACGCACCAGTGTAGTGTCCGCCTCATGGTTGATCTGCTCTGCCGGCAGTGGGGGGTAAGCCCAAGTCGCCATGATAGGGCTCAGTCGCAAGGTTCGGTAAGGGCAGAAAACTTGGATAGGCAGAAACGTTCGATGATCCACGTCACTGTTGGGCTCACCGCGTCGATAGGAGCTGCAACGCTGTTTCGTGCTTCACTTCGTCATTGACCGCCCAAGCTAGCCCCATTAGGCTTAGTGTAGCCAATAGAGTGCGGGCTAACCCACGAACAGTTAGCCGATCAGGCGCAAGCATGACGTTATGATCATCGATGCGCTCAATTTTGATAGAGAAAGAGAGCTGATGATGCGCATTATATCAGAGGGGCCTCGGATACCCCGGCTCTTATACAGCTAGTCCATTTTCCACCTCAAATTTTACCTCTCTTCTCTCCAACATTCCTTGAATCCATTCCCCAAAACCATTCCTTTGGAGATATCCAACCTCTTATACTTCACTACCTAATCAGTAAATACCTACCTGCACTGGTTTACCCCGCAGGGATCAAACACAATGATCTTGAGCAGTAAGCCGCTCCCCCTGATTATCGAAGTATCAAAATCTGACCTACTATAGGAGTATCATTGGGCTTTTTGGGCCTGTTTTTCATGGCAGCCTCCATCTTGCTGATCTTTCTCACACTGCTGGGGGGTGCTCGCAATAGCACTCCACTGAACGAGATCTACTTCCTGCAGGCCGCCACTGGGAACATCCCTGGGGCCCCAAGCATTTCGCGATGGACCTTCTGGAACGTCTGCGGAGTGACCAACAATGGCAGGAATGACTGCGGCAAAACGCACCCCGACTACCCATTTGACCCCCCAAGCCACCGCACTTTTGATACCACCGTGAATGTTCCCCCTGAGTTCATCGGGTAGGTTCTTTCGGGGTTCTATGTTGTATATATCCGTCGACATATGCTAACCATGTCTATAGAACGAAGCACTACTTCTTGACGTCGCGTTTCATGTTCCCATTCATCATTATCGGTCTGTTCTTCGCCGTGTGTTCGCTCTTCACTGGGTTGCTATCAATGTGTACCCGCATCGCCAGCTACCTCTCCGGTTTCCTGGCCTGGCTCGCTCTGACTTTCCAGGGCATCACCACCTGCCTCATGACGTATGTCCCACTTCGATTGATATCAATTCAGGACCAAATAGTTAATTATCCTCAACAGTGCTGTCTTTGTTCAGGGCCGCAACGCCTTTAATAAGAATGGCCAAAACTCCCAGCTGGGCGTTAAAGCCTTCTCCTTCATGTGGACTGCTACCGCTTGCCTGTTCCTCTCATGTCTGATGTACTGTCTCGGCGGTGCCGTCGGCCGGAAAGACAACTCCGGATACAGCGGACGCAAGGAACGCCGCCGTGGTTTCTTCTCCTCGCAGCGCTCTAACAGTGTGAGAAGCCAGAAGAAGGAGCGGGAGAACAACTCCTACGCTTAATGGATAACATAAGTTATCCGTTCCAGCGTTTCTCATATCAATCTCGACAAGATAACAAAACCGGAGAACCAGACAACATCGTCGACATCAGTCGACCTCCGGGCCTTCCATATACAACTTTTTATCCTCCTGCGTTGATAAACCCTTTGGAGGTTCATGCTTTATCCAGGAGACGAGACCTCTTACTATGCTTTGATTTGATTTGACCTTCCAGGATTGAAGCACCCACACTCATTTGATGCTGTTACGAAACCCTTACGATCCTTGCTGAACTTAATTCTGTGGCCACCAGATGGCTGTGGGCATTTACTGCGCAATGCTCATTTTGGTTTGGTGCACGTTAAAACAACGCGAGTTTTTGATGATTTATGGATGAATCACATGGTTCAACGATTCTCCGATTTTGAAGATCATTTTGGATTTGTGTCTTTCGTTGCGACGATACTTAATAGTTGTTGTAATATAATCTATTGTCCTAAATCATTGGAAGTAAAATCTTGATTTATATAGATACTTTTGTTGGAAACCAATGAGGAACTAGCAGAGAAATAGTAACCGTGGGAATACAGAACAGGGATACATGGAAAAGCCATTCTCTATTGGTCGCATCCAATTGAGTTCTATAGATTCTGAATCTGAAAAGTAGGAAAGGAAAAGACTCCATGATGATAACTGCAGTATAAGTAAAAGACAAAAATAAAAAAAAGACAGCCTCTATCAGTCATGCATGCATCATCACACCATAAACGAAATCCAAGTCTTTTTTTTTATTCACAGGAGAAAAGGAAAATTTAAGCGGAGCCGTTGACAGCACCGCGGACGGCGTTCTGGGAACCAACCTCACGGACAGCGATCTGGAGACCGAGGTCGGGGTTGACGTGGACCATGACCTCGATCTTGCCGTTGGCCTTGACGCCCTTGACGGCGAGCTCGGCAACGGGCTTCTCCGTCTTCCAGACAATCTCGCGGGTCTCCTCCTCCTCGTCGTCCTCGGAGTCGAAGTCGGAGTCATCCTCATCCTGGGCGGGCTTCTCCTCCTTGGCCTTGGGCTCGGGCTTGGTGACCTTGATGACACGGGCACCCTCGCACACGCGGACCAGGACGTCACCGCCCTCCTTGGGGGCGGAGTACTGAGCGATGCGGCGGGCGGGGAGGGCAGTCTCGGCGCTGAGCAGGGGCTGGAAGGTGACGTCGGACTGGGAGGTGAACTCAACACCGATGGCCTTAGTCAGGTGGGGGGTGACGGTGACCATGGGGTGGATGGACTGCTCAATGTCCTCATGCTCGAACTCCTGGACCAGGGAAGCCTGGAAGGCGGCACCACGGGAAGACAGCTCGGAGGGGTTGATGGCAGTGGTGGAGGTGGCGGGGGCCAGGACAGTGGTGGTCTCGGGGAAGATGTTGCTGACCAGCTGGGCGAGCTTGGGAGTGTGGGAAACACCACCGGAGAAGATGACCTCGTTGATGTCGAGAACATCGAGCTCGGCCTTCTTGACAACCTGCTGGATCAGGTCGGTGAACTGAGCGAAGACCTTACCGGCGAGGAGCTCGAAACGGGTGCGGTTGACGGTGGAACTGTAGTCGACACCGTCGACCAGGCTCTCAATGCTGATCTGGGCGTTGCTGCTCAGACTGAGGGCCTTGCGGGTGGCCTCACCCTCAAGCTTGAGCTTGGCAAGACCACGGGCGTTCTCGCGGGGGTCGGTCTTGTGCTTCTTCATGAACTCCTTGGCGAAGTGGTCAATGATGATCTGGTCCAGGGAGGCACCGCCGAGCTCGTAGTCGTGGGCAGTGGCGAGGATAGTGTACATGCCTCCGCGGCAGGCAACAACGGCTACATCGGAGCGGGTGCCACCAAAGTCAGCAACAACGGTCAGCTTGTCGGTCACGGTAGCCTCGGGGCGGGCATCGTAAGCCATGACAGCGGCGACGGGCTCGTGGATCAGCTGGAGAACATCGAGACCAGCGGCCTTGGCCGAGGCAACGAGGGCCTCACGCTGGGCATCGGTGAAGTCGGTGGGGACGGTGATGACAGCGGCGTTGACATCCTTACCAAGGAAGTCAGAGGCGGACCGCCTCAGGCGCTGGAAGTGACGGGTGGAGATCTCGGAAACAGTGACGGTGTTGGGGGTCTCGCTCTCGGTGTCGCGGATGGTGAAAGCGACGGTCGAATCCTGCTGCTGGGGGTGGGCAGACGGGTGGCAGGGAGTAGGGTCGATCGACTTGAATTCCTTTCCGAGGAAATCACGGAAGTATGCGACAGTGTTGGCGGAGTTGCGGATGAGCTGGGCCTTAGCCTGTGTGCCGTGGTACTCCTCGCCCTCAATATAAGAAAGGATGGAAGGGATTTGACGGTCTGGCACGGGATTAATTCGAATTCACAAGGCGCGGGGCTTGAAAGCCTTACCTCCCTCCTCGTTGGCAATAACCTCAGCCTTGCCCTCCTGTGATGTTGTTAGCCATTGCTTTATCTCAAATTGCACACAGAGATACGTACAGGCGAGATACGGGCAATTGAACTGCAAGAGTTACCGAACGAGATACCGATAGCGAAACGCTCCGCCTCAGCGGGGGCAGCGGCGTCACCCATGTCGAATGTGGGAATAAGTGATTTTTAAATTAAAAAAGAAATAGGATATCACACGTCACGGCGTGAATGTAGGGGGATGATCGTAGTGATGGATGGCTCGATTGAGGGGGAATCGAAAAATCTTTTGAAGATTTTCGTCCGCTGTGGCTGGGGCTTATCGATAGGGTTGTGGCGCACGGATACCGCCACATCTTGAATTGCCCACAGAGACCATGGTGTTGTATAGTTGAGGGCGGTGAGATATAAGAGCAAGTTAAAAATTTAGCATTTGAGACTGTCTTAAGAGGAATATTAGCAAGAGTTATTGCTCACGTATGCGTACATATCTGTATTCCATTTTTTAGAAGTAGAAGTGTGAGGTCACGTGGTGATAAGGAAATATGGGTTTGCAGATAATTCGATGCTCAGTCAACTTCTAAGAACAGCAACCTTGAGCTCGACCTGTCTTAAATTTTGCTGTAACGCAACTGTCCTCAGCACACAGTCATCAAACACGTCACCATGAGCACCCCGCTTGTCCTATTACCCAGCGATGAGGTACCTCGCGACCATCTTCCTGCCAACAACTCGAACCCTCTACGACTGGGCCCCGGCCTTCGTATCCTCTCACAACCCTCTTCAAAATCTGCCGACTCCAAACATGTCTTGACAGCCACACAAGCTGGTCTACTCACGACCGATGCCAAGAAAAACACAGTCTCACTTCTTTCTTTCCCGAACCGCCGATATATCCCCACCGTCAACGACTTCGTCATCGCACAGATTCACCACTCTAGCGCTGATTTCTTCCACTGCATGGTGACTCCGCACACAGCACATGCACTTCTGGGCCAATTGTCATTTGAAGGCGCATCCAAGAAGACGAGGCCAATGTTGAAGCAAGGCGAGCTGGTGTACGCCCGAGTACTGTCCGTGGGAGTCGGCGCCGGCGCCGAAGTCGAGCTTACCTGTGTGAGCCCATCAACCGGCAAGGCTGAGGGAGGTATGGGTCCTCTGGCCGGTGGAATGGTCTTCGATATTTCAACTGGCATGGCTGGGCGCTTGATTCGGGCAAACTCCTCTTCAGCTGAGACAGATGAAATTGAAGGGCTTGTTGTCCTTTCTGAGCTTGGAAAGAAGCTGGAGAGCTCAGGAGGATTCGAACTTGCTGTTGGACGGAATGGAAAGGTGTGGGTGAACTGCTCCGACTCTGAAGAGAACGCCATTAGGGCTACAGTTGCCATTGGGCGCTGTCTACAGGAAACCGACCAGAAAAACCTCCACCCTCATGACCAGAAGAAGCTGGTGACTAAGATTCTACGGGAGATGAAGTTGGCTTGATTGTGCCCATTGGGCTGGAGTAAGGGTATTACGACTTGCATTTGATTTCTATGCTTTTATGCCAGCATGTATACTATTAATGCAATCAATGAGCTTGATGTCTGTCTTGTATTCAAGCAAATATATATATTCCTACGGGGAGGTCTGTACAGATATAAAATGTCCCAATATCCTTTGTTGTATTTCTAGGGCCGCTGGCGAGCTATCTACAATGCATATCTGGGTCCCCTGCCCCCCCAAAACAGTCCCCCCAAAACAGTCCCAGCAGCATTGAACAGACAGACATATAGATTAACAAAAAATGCAACACATACGTGCACCGTAACATTGCATGTGCAAAAAGAAACTCTCCCTCGGGGAATCGAACCCCGGTCTCCCGCGCTTATCAGTTTTAATGACAAGCGGAAATCATCACCACTAGACCAAGGAAGATTGAATGACCGAGTTACAGCTCGACCACTTGGCTGGTTGATGAAAGGTCCCACATGTAAATGTCTTAAGTTTAAAGCACCTATTTGACAAATTTGCACATTTGTAGTCGTCCGCATCTCTCTTGTATCTCCTTCCATATCAATGGAAAAGACAGCGCATACAAATTCCGGGCAATCGTGCATATCGGTTCCTTTTTTTCATTCGCCATTGTGCTGATGAACATCAACTTATATCGTTATCTGATGGTATAGATTGGTTGCTCATGGAGGCGGTCATCAAGGCGGTCGCGCGTATTGCCGGATTACGCGCTCTCCGCCGTAAATTTTGTTCGGCTTTGGACAGGCCAAGCTTCCCTTGACTGCATCTCTCTTTCTACACCCAGGGCTTCACGATGGGTCAGAACTCGTCCCAGCCCGAGGGAATTCCTGATCTCCCCGAAGATTTCGGAGTCGTCGGTAGGTCTACTAATGCGATTGATATTCGCACTCGATACTGACGTTCTCATTCCAGTTCCCGAAACTTCGTATGCAGAGCACGACGCGCCGGAGCCCAAAAAGAAAAGCAAGAAAAATCGCCAATCGAAGAAGGAGAAGTTAATTCAACCCGAAGAGGCCAATAGCATAGGAACTCCACTTTCAGATGACGATGCGACCAAGCC